ATTAATTATTTAATTAAGTACAATTGATAAGCACAATGTCAAAAATGTAGGTAAAAAAAGTGATTTTTAACAATACAGTACGTAAGGTGTATACAATACTGTCTACTAACAGACATTTTCCTGTACATTTTCATTTTTCGACAACCTGTCAATTCATACCCAACAAAAGTTATAAAACATAACATTACATATCAACAAAACATATTAATTTTATTATTTAAGTTGAGAAACATAACCAAAGTTAATTCAAAACAACAAAGAATTCATAAACAATGTGCCATTCTTATCAAACTGGAAAAACAATTGAGCTGGATGTGCCGAATAAGACTTGTTCTTAACGGGGGACAAGCTGGTATCCAAAAACTATTGAAAATACACAATAAGTGTATAACGGGTAATTGTAGCCAAAATAACCTACATATATATAAAAGAAAAATGCCATTCAATCCCTATATCTATTGAATATAAAAGTTCCATAACCAGAAATAAGCTGTTCTTGTATAATATGATTATGTGAATCTGGTGCATGAAATATATAATTCCAGGTCACACCCAAAATGCACTTCATCATCCCTATTCTAAAGTCAAAATTCCTTTTGGATAAACACTTATAAAAATGGGTGACGTCAACTATACAAAAAATGATATCATAGAAATATAGGATCTAAAAGAATTGTCCATTTCATGACATCAGTTTGGGTTAGAAATGAATTTTGAGATTCCTTTGGTCGTCACAAATTAACATGTTTTGTCTGAAAGATTTTACCAGATAGCAAGTGAGTGCCACTACCAACTCATAGCATTAAAACATCTAGTTTCTTATGACTTCATAATTTGAGATACAGTGTATTCCCCTGAATGGCATGTGTTAATGCGAAATGTGATATTAACAGAAATGTGACATAAAAAGAAATGTGATAGTAAGTGATATAACATATCAGTTACATTGCCTTTAACATTAAGTTTCCCTAGCATATGTACAGTGAAACCTTGATATAATGTCTTCTAGTTAAGCCACCGCAGTTATTGCCTAAATTTTACAAGGTCCCTTTTCTCGTAAGAATTCCTTTGTATATTTCCCTCAATTTATCGCCAAACCCCTTTCTAATGCCATTTTTTTCTGGCCAAATTGTGGCAGTATATAAGGAAGTTTTTACATATTTTCAAAGTTCCTTTTTCTTATTTTAAGAATTCCTTTGTATAGTTCCTTCAATTTATTACCACACTTTTTTTTCATTCAACAATTTCTCTGGACAAACGATAGCAGTATATAATGTGATTCTACTGATACTTTTTAAGAAGCTACTTTATAACTGCTACATTATGCTACATGCAAGCACTCACCATTATCAAAACATAACAAAGATAGCTCTGTAACAACAATCTGTTTGGGGTATTTATGTTAAGTTGTTTTACACCAAGCAATGGTTGAAAATGATCGGATCCTCAGTGCAATTTGCAGGGAAAGTCACCATCATTTGTAAAAATTAAAGCCTGAAGAAATTTTGACATGTGATATTATGGGCAATTCTGACCAGAACATGATCTTTAGAATAATATGAGAAAAAAAAAAAGCTAAATTAAACCCTACAGTTATAGACAGAAATAAAACATGATATTAACAGAAATGTGATATTATGTGATGTGACATTAAGTGGAATCCACTTAATAACACGTGCTACATATACAAGCATTATGATGGTTTCCTTATACTGTTTCCATCTAGCCTCAGCATTGAGGAAACAATCCCAGAGATAATACTTTATTTACCACATCTATAAAAATTCCAACAATGTATTTCATTGAGGAAACAATCCCAGAGATAATACTTTATTTACCACATTGATAAAAATTCCAACAATGTATTTTATTTTTTTAATAGATTAACAGAGCTTTGGTCCTTGAGACAGTAACTCATATCTAATACTTGTTTAATAATGCTTGTCCAATTTTGCCGACAAATATTTTAAGAAACTAACAACAGAGTACAATACTTACCATCCTATGGCTTTGCCACTATATAACCATACCATATTCAGATGGCATTCATACAGGCTGTGAATGCCATGAACCGATTGTTGAGGTCATCATCATTATGACAACATATCTGTTACCATGGATACTATTTACCCATCCTTGGACATTAATGGTTGTACTATTAACTGAATAGGCATATAAAATAAATACATTATTTGAACTAATAACTACATGATGATAAGTGTAATTTAATTTTCTACAAGATACACACATCCCAAAAATGGCTATATATGTATTGAACTGCTTTCAGTTAGCATTCATAGGCAGTATGAAAGCCAACTGGACAATGACAGGTCACACATGATGTACTAGCATACCTCATTATATTTGCTTTTGTCCAGTTGGCATTCATATTGCCTATGATTGCCAACTGAAAGCAGTTTAATGCTGAAGTACTACACATAATTTGTCCAGTTAAAAACAATGTTGTCAAAATAATCCTGGTCTACAAATCCCAAACACCCAGTTACATTGTACATGAACACGTCTAACTAACATCACACAATCCATGACACGTTCAACATGTGTGACTATAAAATCATTATAATGCTGATAAGTTAAGTCAAAGGTAGTGTATTTCTAACCTCCTAGACCCCTGTCATGTATCCGTTTCAACCAGTTTAAACGGTTGAATCTGAAAAAACGTCAGGCCCAGATCTGAATAGAGGCTGACCTCAGGTATATTTGGTTGATTGAAGTGTCCAGACGTATCTGACCGAAAGTAAAATGCTGACTATTGCCAGTTTGCGTTATTTCTTTATAAAACAAGGTCAATCCACATGTAGATTTTAAGATATGTTATATATTTTAGCAGACACATGAAAGAAGGGCATAACATTCTAGATATATTGTTATTTATTCTCAGAAACTGTGTATTTTAAGCTTTGCCTACAGTTCGGTGCAAGTGCGTTTGTTTATCATGGAATATTTCTGCGCCACCTGGACCATTTCAGCAGGGATATGCATTGAATGCTGCCCTAATAACGTTAGCCTGTATATACTGAATTTATACTGCAAAAGGCGCAGGGGGCTATAGCACATGATCTCTTACTCAAAGTAGGGGGATGGGTTTATTACAGGGCGATGAAAAAGCTTTGGTTGGCATTTCTTCCTAACAGTAATATATATTGGTGGGCTCATTACCAACCATCATCACCAGGGCTTCTTGCAGGATAAATACGGTAATAAACTTAGTTTCAGTATCAACCTATAGTTACAGAAGTGTGCACCCTGAACATATCTAACTATATAATTTGTGCACCCCCAACTTCAAACTTAATTTCAACACAAATAATCTGCGCAAATTATGCAAGTCTTTACGGTATTTAATGTTTAGAGGTACAGGTAAGCCTGTATCTAAACTTAACTTACAGTAGGATGTATCTTACATCAATTTACAGTAGCCTGTATCTAAACTTAGCTTACAGTAGGATGTATCTTACATCAATTTACAGTAGCCTGTATCTAAACTTAAATTACAGTAGGATGTATGTTACATCAATTTACAGTAGCCTGTCTCTACACTTAAGTTACAGTATCATTTATCGGACCTCAATTTACAGTAGCCGGTCTGTAAACTTAAGTTACAGTATCATTTATCTTCCCTCATTTTACAGTAGCCTGTCTCCAACCTTAAGTTACAGTATCATTCAAATTACCTCAATTTACAGTAGCCTGCATCTAAACTTAATTAAAGTTACAGTATAATTCATCTTACCTCAATGTACAGTAGCCTGTATCTAAACTTAAATTACAGTAGGATGTATGTTACATCAATTTACAGTAGCCTGTATCTAAACGTAAGTTACAGCATCATTTATCTTCCCTCAATTTACAGTAGCCTGTGTCTAAACTTAAGTTAGAGTAGCATGTATGTCACCTCAATTTACAGTAGCCTGTCTCTACACTTAACTTACAGTAGCATGTATGTTCCCTCAATTTACAGTAGCCTGTCTCTACACTTAACTTACAGTAGGATGTATGTTACATCAATTTACAGTAGCCTGTCTCTACACTTAAGTTACAGTATCATTTATCTTACCACAATTTACAGTAGCCTGTCTCTACACTTAAGTTACAGTATCATTTATCTTCCCTCATTTTACAGTAGCCTGTATCTAAACTTAAGTTACAGTATCATTTATCTTACCACAATTTACAGTAGCCTGTCTCTACACTTAAGTTACAGTATCATTTATCTTACCACAATTTACAGTAGCCTGTCTCTACACTTAAGTTACAGTATCATTTATCTTACCACAATTTACAGTAGCCTGTCTCTACACTTAAGTTACAGTATCATTTATCGGACCTCAATTTACAGTAGCCGGTCTGTAAACTTAAGTTACAGTATCATTTATCTTACCACAATTTACAGTAGCCTGTCTCTACACTTAAGTTACAGTATCATTTATCTTACCACAATTTACAGTAGCCTGTCTCTACACTTAAGTTACAGTATCATTTATCTTACCACAATTTACAGTAGCCTGTCTCTACACTTAAGTTACAGTATCATTTATCGGACCTCAATTTACAGTAGCCGGTCTGTAAACTTAAGTTACAGTATCATTTATCTTCCCTCATTTTACAGTAGCCTGTATCTAAACTTAAGTTAGAGTAGCATGTATGTCGCCTCAATTTACAGTAGCCTGTCTCTACACTTAAGTTACAGTATCATTTATATTACCTCATTTTACAGTAGCCTGTATCTAAACTTAATTAAAGTTACAGTATAATTCATCTTACCTCAATGTACAGTAGCCTGTATCTAAACGTAACTTACAGTAGGATGTATGTGACCTCAATGTACAGTAGCCTGTATCTAAACGTAACTTACAGTAGGATGTATGCTACCTCAATTTACAGTAGCCTGCATCTAAACTTAATTAAAGTTACAGTATAATTCATCTTACCTCAATGTACAGTAGCCTGTATCTAAACTTAAGTTGCAGTATCATTTATCTTACCTCATTTTACAGTAGCCTGTATCTAAACTTAAGTTGCAGTATCATTTATCTTACCTCATTTTACAGTAGCCTGTCTCCAAACTTAAGTTACAGTATCATTCATCTTACCTCAATTTACAGTAGCCTGTCTCTAAACTTAAGTTACAGTATCATTTATCTTACCTCAATTTACAGTAGCCTGTATCTAAACTTAATTAAAGTTACAGTATCATTCATCTTACCTCAATGTACAGTAGCCTGTATCTAAACTTAAGTTACAGCATCATTTATCTTACCTCAATTTACAGTAGCCTGTATCTAACAGACACATAGTCTGTATCTACACTTGAAAATAAAAATGTTCGTGAGGTAATTTGTTTATAGGACAGAATTTGTTTAATGCCTTAAATGTTATTTTCAGTCGGACTGAATACTAAAGAAATAGTTTGTCGACTAGGTACTGCCCACAAAAACACTGAATACTAGACGTTTACATAAAATGACTAACATACAATTTCTAATACTGCAGGTCTTCTCCATCCTCAAAACCCCAGGGGGTAAGCTTAAAGTACATCCTCTGAAACTGTTCTACAGGTATATCCAAAATGCAATTAAGGGGAGGTTACTGTGTATACCAAAACAGTGCAGTGGGACAGGGATCTTTAAACCTAGATATTTCTCCTGTTTGTATGGAACGTTACACACCCACACATACCGACCACACAGTCACATATCTTTTTAATGGGTCAACAATTTAATACTGATTTAGCTATAGGCTAACAAACAAACAATCACCAACCACCTACGCGGTGAAAAACCTTTCCAAATTGACCAATATCCTTTGGACCAAACTTTTCAGTTAAAATTTTAAAAAATGAGACTTACTTAGGAAAAAAAATGCTTAATAGAAAATGATCCTGGGATTGCACAGGCTCAATTTACAAATACAAAAGAAAACGTTTCATTCATAATAAGAGAGGACTATAGATTATACAACTTCACACATAAAAACCCCAATCATGTCAACGTTTGTTATTCAGTCACTTGCATACCAACAGTATGTCTCCATCTTAGGGCGACTGAATCATGACAGGATTGCTGTAACATCATATTAACAAACAAGGAAATCTGTCACCAAAACAATGCTGGCTAATTATAAGGTAAGAGTACCCAAAATGGATCATCAAACCATGATTTTGTTCATTTATTGAAAATTCAGAGAATGATTATATATATATTTGTATCAAGAGACAAAATATTGATAGGTGTTCTTACAAACAAAATAAACACCTAGGGCTCTTACGAGATATTTATAGAATACCTTGATTACTGTTTCCGTATTTCGCAAATGACTGTATGCAAAACAGATCACAGATTGAATGGCTTAATGCATTCTAAGGCAACATAATTGAAAAATATGAACTGTGATACATCTAATGTTTTTTTACTTTTGTAAAGAGTGGTTCAATTTTGGTTTTCCAGTCTTAAGTAAGACAGCAGGAAAACCAGATACTGTGAAAAGACTTATATTGGTGGGGTCAGATTTTAGCGTATTATCAACTTTTTAACAGATAAGCACATTGATGAATTCGCGCACTCACAAAATATGTAATAAGAAATTATATACAAAAACTTTAATTAATGTAGTCATTATTGTGCCCAACAATAATTTTGAGAGCGAGAGAAGTGCTAAATTCTGAACATCGCTGAAACATGTCTGTTTGTAGCAAGTGGTGAATGGATTACTGAAGCTTGACGTACAGTGTTAGCACAACCTCTTTGTGAAGGTCGATTTATACAGGGTTCCAGATTACTGACCAGTTTTCACAGGTTACACTGTACGTACTTCGTGACTTGCCATTTATAATTTGGTTTGGTTTCTTTGTGTTTTACGTCCTATTAGCAGCTATGGTCATTTAAGGACGTGCCAGGTTTTGGTGGTGGAGGAAAGCCCGCCAGGAGTTCTCAAAGAGAAAACCACCAACCTAAGGCCAGTAACCTGGCGACTAGCTGCCCCACGTAGGTCTCGAACCAGCGACTAAGTGGTGGGGGGTTAGTGGTAGCAGAATGTCAGACGCCTTAACCACTTAGCCACTGCAGCCTCTGCCACTTATACAAACATATATTAAATCATATTAGATATATAACTTGTCTAAAAATGCAAAAATTGGAGCGATCAAACAATTGTGACATAATTCATATAATTCAATCGAATTGTATTTCAAATATATGTTTATCATTTCATAAAAATACGCTTAACATGTAACAAATTACATGTTTCAATATATTTCTAACATACATTATCAAAATTCTTAACATTTCGTTACCTGATAGTTTTGGTATCTAACCATAGGATGGTTTGGTATTTTTCGTAAAGACAAAAAATGCTGAGGAACCTTGAAACATAAAATCAGCAACACACAGGACAACAAACCAAAAAGGTACACATCTGAAACGTTGGTCAAATAGCCGAAACATTATGAAATATCGAAATTGCTTTTCGAAGTAACCGTACCGAAAACATCTTATCCAAGTAACGAAACATCCTGATATGGAAACGACTGCATTCCGTAACATCGGTACTCCCTTTCAATATCCCTGTACAAATTGTCCAGTTCATCACCATATTATAATAATAACACTTGAATAATGCTGTGTGCTAAATCTTCCTTCAGACCTGCACCTCCAACCAGCCAGATCTCACATGTTCCAAGAAGACATCCTCGATCGCTCACTTTCGATCTCTACACTCCTAGAATATGTCAGAGAAAAATTGAAGGCTCGGTGTGCGCCACCTTGCGAATGATAAGAGGAGACTAGTTTGATCGTTTTTTATTCATCAAAAGAATCTGTTGGTTGCAAAATGGTAAAATTGACTTGCTTTGAAGTCGAGTGTACGTAGCTGTTGTTCCTCTGTAATCTTCAAATTCATCATTTTTTTTCCCCCAAGATCAATCAAATAAAGCTAGCCACATGCCTTCAAGTTTGCTATGGCATATTCCAGGGGTGCAGAGAGTGAAAGTGAGCGTAACTCCTGGAGTATCGAGGATGGCTAGAAGAACGCAGCTATAGGAATCTTCATATAAACAAACACTGTAAGTATAGGCGCCATGATGTGTAAGATTTGGACCCCTACAGTAAGGACATACACTTCAATGCTGTCATACAAGAACACAAATTGTATGTACTATAATTATAAAAGTTACCAGACACTTATTTTGGACAAAGTTACAGATTAGGGGGTGTAGATTCTACAATGTCGAAAAAGGATGCAGACTTTGGGAAACACACGTAGCAAACGGGCACTGGGTTTGAGGAACATCATAAAAGTGTGCAGACTTTCGATTGATGGGTATTCTGTTGTTCCTGTTTTAACAGTCTCTCCCCCTGCAGCTGCACTGTCTCACTGAGCATCTGGATCTTTCTCTGATATCTCTTAAACAAAAACAAACAAAGTCTGCGGTTGGTGTCTCAGGTTTTCCAGCATGCATAAACATAAAACTAGCTTAGGTCACAATGCAAAACGCAAGCAGGCAATAACATGCAACCAGGATAGAGGGGCTCATCACAGGAATACACAGAACAGGAATACACAGGGTAAAATATATACAATGTTCTAAAATAGGAATACACAGTGTAAAATATATACAATGTTCTAAAACAGGAATACACAGGGTAAAATATACACTATGTTCTTAAACAGGAATACACAGGGTAAAATATACACAATGTTCTAAAACAGGAATACACAGGGTAAAATATACACAATGTTCTAAAACAGGAATACACAGGGTAAAATATACACAATGTTCTAAAACAGGAATACACAGGGTAAAATATACACAATGTTCTAAAACAGGAATACACAGGGTAAAATATACACAATGTTCTAAAACAGGAATACACAGGGTAAAATATACACAATGTTCTAAAACAGGAATACACAGGGTAAAATATACACAATGTTCTAAAACAGGAATACACAGGGTAAAATATACACAATGTTCTAAAACAGGAATACACAGGGTAAAATATACACAATGTTCTAAAACAGGAATACACAGGGTAAAATATACACAAAGTTATCAAAACAGGAATACACAGGATAAATTATACACACTGTTTCAATGAGAGGTACCCCTAATGGAATCGCAAGACAGAGGTACACAAGAAAATCGGTAAAACTTGTGGATTACACTCCCCCTAATGGTCATTACAACGCGAATAAAGTGTGATCTCAATGTGACCTTGACATTGAGCATACAGACCAGAAAGTAGTAATGGGCACACTGCCTCCCCCTCCTACATATATCCCTAAAACTTCATTCAGATATCTTCAACAAGTCAGAAATTATGGCTGAAACAATGTATTTGACTTTTGACCTCAATGTGATCTTGACTGGGGATACAGACCCAATTGTATTTTGCAACACACTTATACTTGCCATCCTGAAGCTATCGCTAAAATTTTATTCAGACATCTTCAGCAAGTCAGGAGTTACAACCTTTAATTTTTTTTCTTGAGTATAAAAATGTATAATGGAGCATATCTGGACAGGAATACAAGGAAACATCTGGACAGAGATATATAAGGTTAGTAGATCGAGGGTCAATGGGAACAGCAGGGTAGAAGAAGAATGGGAAATCATAATATATACGTACAATAAGGAAAGTACAAGTTAGTGGGATCAAGTGAAAGAGTTAGAACAAGGTTAACAGAACTTTTGAGCTTTGCAGAACAAATAATTCTGTTGTGGTTGTTGAGTTCAAATGTGTCTTCAGGGGTGAATGAGTTAAATTACACAACACATGAGGTCTAAATTTGATATAACAAGCAAAAACATTCAATAAACCAATTTTTATCTTAACAAGAGGCCCATGGGCCTAAACGGTCACCTGAGTCTACAGTATTTATTTTTGTTGCTGAAATATGTACCAATTTGAGTAAAAAATAGTATAATGTTAACTTAACTTTGTCAGGACCATGAGCTGATCATTCCTAGACCAATTTTAAGTGAGATCGGCCTATTAGAACTTAGTAGCAAAATAGCGGCCATGGCAGCCAAATTGTATTTCTGATTGACCCGAAAAATAACAACACTTTGTCAGGACCATGATTCGATCATTCCTACAAAGTTTCAGTTCAATCGGCCAAGTAGATCTTTACTTTAAGTTTGAAATAGTTTACCAAAATGGCAGCTGTGGTGGCCATATTGGATTTCTGATCGACCTGAAAAATAACAACACTTTGTCAGGACCATGAGTCAATCATTCCTACAAAGTTTCAGTTCAATCGGCCTAGCAGAACTTGACTTTAAGTTTGAAATATGTTTTCAAAATGGTGGCCGTGGCGGCCATATTGGATTTATGATTGACCTGAAAAATAACAACACTTTGTCAGGACCATGAGTCGATCATTCCTACAAACTTTAAGTTCAATCGGTCCAGCAGAACTTGACTTTAAGTTTGAAATAGGTTTTCAAAATGGCGGCCGTGGTGGCCATATTGGATTTCTGATCGACCCAAAAAATAACAACACTTTGTCAGGACCATGAGGCGATCATTCCTACCAACTTTCAGTTCAATCGGTCCAGCAGAACTTGACTTTAAGTTTGAAATAGGTTTTCAAAATGGTGGCTGTGGCGGCCATATTGGATTTCTGATCGACCCGAAAAATAACAACACTTTGTCAGGACCATGAGGCAATCATTCCTACCAACTTTCAGTTTAATCGGCCCAGCAGAACTTGACTTTAAGTTTGAAATGTAAAATGTTAACGGACGACGACGGACAAAAACGGATAGTAATAGGTCACTTGAGCTAAAGCTCAGGTGACCTAAAAACAAATAGTTTTTTTTTAAATTGTATCAACCGATGGAACTTACATAATGTAAGTAAAACTAACAACAGCTCCCCATCCCAACCCACCCAACCTCTAACCCCTGTTTTTCCTACGGAGCGATAAATCCATTTATAAATAAATTATATTTTCAGTAATAATGACCTTAAACATGGACCAACTGGGACAAAAATCAAATGATAATGACATATGTTCAATGCAAACAGATGCGTGAAGTTTCGGAAAATCTGTCTCGAGATATAAACAGCCATTTCTGCAAAATAGATTCTGCAAAATTCTATTTTTAGTACTGGTGACCCTGACCTCGGACAGATAGCCATGATGCTTGAACTTTTAAATGACACGACCAAGGCAAACATTAGAAATCTTTCATCCGTTTGATTCTGTTTGAAAACATGGCAGCTTGAGTTAATAGCTGTCACTGTGACCCCCACCCGACCCCGCTTATTTTTAGTAACAGTGACCTTGAACTATGACCAATGTCTCAAATATTGAAACTTGAACAAACTATGTCCCAGGCAAAAAACCTATTTTGTTAGTGATGACAAAGAGTGTGATGGTGAAATCCGATATTTTGTTACAGCAACTTTGACCTTTGACCTATCATTCCCATATTTCAGATTGTTCAAAGGATCACTGAGGCAAATGCACTCATAAAGTAAGGGTTCGTGAAAATCTGACAAGCAATCAAACATGTGGAGTGTTGCCAACAAGTATGATAGGTAAGTGAAAATTAGTCTTTAGTAACAGTGACCTTGACCTTTGACTGATAATGCATATATTTGAAATTGTCCAATTTGATACCTGCAAAAGTTTGATGAAAATATGTTCCGAAATACAGTGACTCGATTGCTGACAAGGAATGTGAGAGATACACGGACAGAACGACAGAAAGGCAGGACAAAACTGTAGTACTTCCCCAACCTACATGCTACTAAGCAGATGGTATAAACATCTTTTAGTGGAAAACTACACCGTAATAAAAAGTCAACAGAATGGCAGACTAACCTGTCTGGTCCAGTCTTGGATATCAGCCCCCTTAAGGGGCCCTTGGATGCTGCCGTCGCGCCGAACGTAGACATCCCCACCGGTGGCATACAATACCTCTGTGTCCTCCTGAACGTTAACATTCACCTCTAACACACAGAGGGGTGGCTCTGTAACAATAGAGAATTAACACAAGCCTTATAACGTGCTCACCCACAAATGGATCATACACACTTTCAGAACGTTCTATATTCAAGCTCTTTTATTTCAAGCATTTTTTTTCAATTTTTGATCTACTGTTAAACACCACAAAACTGAAAAGAATCATTAAGTATTTTACTAAAATAATTAACATTTTATGATCAATTTATATCAACTTTTAAAATACCTTTTGAAACATTTCCTTTAAAGGAAATATTATAAATCATGTATCAATTGTTCCCTGCAGTACAAAGTATAAACATTTCAGCACTTTTTAAAGAATTGTACAAAACCAAATTTTGGCACTTTTCCATATTAAATACACTTTATCTATAAATAGATTTTTTTGCCCAGTTAAATATTTGCCATTGGCTGATAGAAACTATGTTCGCTTTGTGTTAATTTTGTCCTTTACATATAATTGAGAGGTATTGTATATTGTGTAAGAATATGCGGATAATTCGCTGTCCCGTTGAGGAGGGCAAACATGGCGAAAGTTAAACAGTGGTAACAATTTCCTGGTACGAGTATTTTCCAGTAATTTTTAGTCAATGGCCTCAATTCCAACACCATTCACACCCTTTACAGATCTAGATGTACCGTGACATTGTATAGTTATAGCCAGATGATATTATTACTAATTTTAATGCCATAACCTTTATCTTTGTCCTGTCTCTCTATGTGTGAAAGTGTGTGACATTGTGTTTTGTTGAATGTATCAGTTATATACATGTATATTATAGATGATGATGATAATGATGATGATGATGATGATGATATATGAATGATGATGATGATGATGATGATGATGATGATATATGGATGATGATGATGATGATGATATATGGACAAATATAATAAAGATATGATGATGATGATGATGATGATGATGATGATGATGATGATGATGATGATGATGATGATGATTTATGAATGATGATGATAGTATATGGATGATGATGATGATGATGATGATGATATATGGATGATGATGATGATGATGATATATGGACGATGATGATAGAATGAATTTCACTTTTTCAACATGTGTGAATGTGTGTATGTGTAATGATTGTACATGTACTGGAAAAAATTGAAAAAAAATGCAAAAAAATAAACAAAAAATAATGCCATAACTACAGAACTTACCAGAAGGCAAGCTGTTGGTGAGGACAGGAACAAACTGGACAGTGTACTGTTCGGGAAAGATGGCTGGGCTTATACTTTTGAAAGCCATGTCGATGTCAATTCTGGCCTTGTCCTCCTGTGACTGACTATATTCCACACCTTTCGCACGACCTGGCAACATAAATAGTCAATATTTCAGGTCACAACTGTAGTCTGTATTATGATCAATGTATACCAATGAAGATAGCATATATCTCATATCACTATAAATCTAAACTAATTAAGACCCTGCATGGTTAGACACAAGCTATTTTTTTTGCATGGTACATAGTCCACAGGAATAGTAGAACAGATTATTTGCTAGCCCTACGTCAATGTAACTAATCCAATATTTCCATAAGGCAGATTTTCAAACACAAAACAAATGAGAGTAATTGGCTCTATTTAAAAGACTTAAAATAACTAATGTCATCAATATATCAATGTTATGGTGAAGTTTTAGGAAAATTTTGATAGCTATCCTGCAGTATGTCTAAGTTTTAAGCAGTTTTCCAAAAGGAATCATTTTATTTTATAATGTATTTATCAAATGGTATTTTGGTAACATACTTTTTTACAAGTCCAAAGGACCAGTTAGGTTAGTTGATTCACTAGTCCTTGATGAAATTTACAAGTCACATACTAAAGGACAACAGTGTTAGTCACAAACACTGCCCTGTAGTTAGTGCTGGGAATCGTAAGGCAAATTTACTATCAGCAATCGGAAGCTGACTGTGAATGATAGATTGTTTAATAAGAATTTTACATATTTTTTTTTATATAATTTTAATTTTGAAACATTTTCAGGATTACAAAAATACTTACAATATTAATTTTCACACTCATTTGTTCATTCTTCAACCAAAATTAAATACAAATTTTGTAACATATTTTACTGTTTATGTTTTTCATTTCATAAACATAGGTTGACTGTACTTTCTGTTGTTGTTACAAGTGTATTTTCTAATGAGCCTTCTGTGCCTTCCAAAATATACATTTAGTAATGTTTTAATTGTTTATACTTATGCAGTAAAAGAAAAGTTTTTTCCAAGACTAACCTAAGAAACTTCAGGCCAACCATACGAAAACAACCCTTGTTCCACACTGCACATCACAGGCTAAGATTTTCAGTGTTTTAATTCTTTAAATTTTCATTAATAGAGCTTACAAAATCATAGTAGAGTGCCTGCTTTTCAGCTGTGGTTGATCATTTTTCTGCTTTTTTCCAATAATCTGAACACATCTACCTGTAATTAATACTCACCCTCATCACTGACTCCTATCATCAGTGTACCAGCCTCTCTGCTGTTGAGAAAGCCACACACATATCTCCCAACATCCTTATTAAGCTGTTTCTTGATATAGTTACCAGAACCAAGCTTATACTCTCTGCTGCGAGTCTCTGTGCCAACAAACTGGTCAGCGTTGTAGTGTCGACCAGAGGGCTGTTCCAGACCAGTGGTTGATGTGGCCGCAAGCGACCCCTTGACCGGACACCCGGTCATGGAGGTCGACGTTGAGCAGTGGTTTTCGCTCAAACTCAGTTTTGTCATACCAGCCGTCATGGTCTCCCGCCCTTCTGCATTACTGGCTGTTGCAGTCTTTGGTTTTGAAGGGCTTGGAGAAATTTTCTTTTCTCCTTCGTTTACAGTCTGGTTGGCAGAGACCTTTTTGTCATTGGTTGAAGCCGTCCCTGCAGTCTGTTTCACAGTAGGTTGTGTTTTAGTACCTTTGCTCGCTGTTCTCTCAGCATTATTGTTCCTGGAACCAGACGAGGAATGTTCCTCGTTATATTGTTCTTCTGGTTTAGGTTTCTTGGTTTTCCTCTGTTTCTTCACTTTTTTATAATCAACAGTCAGCGACTCGTATGGCTGCACTATGTACGTGAAGTTGTAACGAAGGTTACGGCGGTTTTCCCAGGAGGCAAGCTCCTCGAGAGTCTCCGAAGCCTCGCCTTCGTCGTGAAGATCCACAAAGGCAAACCATGCCAGCTTGCCCTTCTTGATATCGATATCATCCCAATCAACGACAACACCGATATAGTTACAGAAGAGTTCCAACAGATTCTTTTTCAGCTCCACCAGGTGTAGGTCTCGACGAAGATTCCCCAGGTACAGTATGTTCTTGTCTTTACCCATTGTCACCAAAGACGCATCGTCTTCCTGAAACAGACCATCTTAATATATAAATGTGATCATATCAACATAACACACATACATCCAGGTGTTACTATTGCTTACAGTAAACATATCTAATTTTAATAATTTCGTACCTTCACAGGACTTGGGGCATTATGGGTAATTTTTCGGCGCATAAAAAGCAAAAATTTCAACTTGAATTTATTCACCAATTTGTTATAAACGCCATATTGGTCAATTGGGGTTAAGTTTCTTGGTGCAGATTGTTTCCAATGCCCATGCGTAGATGCCCTACCATAGCAATGAAATTGTGTTATGCAGAAATAGCTAAAATAATGTGGTTTTCGACAGTATTTAGAAACGCTTCGTCGCATGCAGAAATGAAAGCCTCCGCATGCGACAAACAATTGTTCAACCAAATAGAGCACAACAGACGATATTCACAGATTTTATTGCGAAAATGTGGGTATATGTCATGTCTAATTGTCAAATGAATTTGAAATTTCATATTTGCGTACTTCATTAATACCAGATTACGAATATAACAGCTAATTATGAATTTGTCGATGAGGCGCTGTAGGGATAGTTTAAAGGAGTCCCAGAGCTGTTCTGTGTCCTTTCCCTCCTCATAAAGGGATGCTATTCTCTCGGAGATGGTACGGCATCCGTCACGCAGGTCATCCCAGTTAGCTCTTCGAAATTAAAGTACCTTCCTCGGTTTCTGTCTGTTGTAGTGAGGTCTAGTGTCACTGTCAACTACTACTATGTCATGTTCCGAGATTCCAGGCACCGTTGTTGAACTCTTCACCAGGGATGGATTTGACGTGAATACAAGATCAAGTGTGTTGTCTTCTCGTGTGGACGTTTCCTGCATCTGGGCGAGCTGGTGTTTGACTGAGATGTCAATCAAGTCCTGCTGGATAGATCTATCTGTAGAGCTGGTAACTGAGAGGGAAGGCCAGTTAATGTCGGGGCAGTTGAAATCGCCACATAGCATAACATGTCTATGTTTGGTTTTTGTGATCATATGCAGCGATGTATCAAGTTCCTTTAAGTCGCCAGAGTTACGATGGGCCATGTTAAAACATCCAACGAATAGTTCTTTACTTCCTTCCAATTTAAGTTTAACCCACTCCAGTTCACAATTTGTCACAAATTCAGGCTGTTCCACCGATACCAGGTCTTCATGAACCAAAATGAAGACACCTCCTCCATGGGACCCACGGTCATTTCGATATGCCTTGTACTCACTAGGGAATACCTCACTGGATCTGATATAGTTCTGCGTAGGATTTTTACCCGGTTTCACTCCTCGGAGCCATGATTCCGTGCCGCAAACAATGTCGGGTTTCAAGTATTCCAGGGCTCCTGATAGTTCCGATTTCTTGTCCATTACACTCCTGCAGTTGATGTTGAGGATACGCAGGTTCCTTTTCCTAGGATGAGCATAAACAGAAGACAACCGTGTTGAGTCTGGTGGCCGAGAACTCTTCGAAGTATGTGAGGCGTTGGGTTCTCTTTCTCCTGTTACATAAACATGTGTAGAGGAACTGGACTGGGCCGATAGATGGCGAACTGTCAGGTAGACTAATTGATAACAGCGTACGTCTAGAATTCAGAGGTTGTAGTTTAAAATGCCAGTCTGGCAATGCACATTCTGTGGTCAATGGTTTCAGTCAAAGCTATCCAAGTCTGTGGTCAAACAGAAATATATGCAAGAAGAACATTGGGATGATTGTAGTTGTAATATTATAATTAATTAACCCCATTGAAAGTTTTTTTTAACCTGGCACACTATTTGTAATATATGATTGTTTTATGATTGCAGAATGGTTAAAAGCCTTCATTCATCATCAATCGTAATAAAAATCGCAACGGGACTGAAATAAATCTTCTAGGAAGCCCGTCAGCGTTGTTAAATAGACATGACATTGGCGGATATTGTGCAAAAATGGTTGCAAGTGTTCCATTTCATTGTAAAAACACACTTGGTACTGCATTTTTTACCTTTCAAACGTTGAATTTGCTCATATACTATGAAATATGTTACAACACAGGTGCTTGTAAACAACCGGAAGTGTGGTCATGAAAGCGCCTGATACAATCATGCGCATGTAAATGCTTCACGGTCAAGGAGAAAAGAACAAGATTTTTTAAGCGCACGATCTACATTGATTATCGGATTTTGGCCTGGCCGCTGTTTGACACGTCGGTTCGGTTTACATCTGTCATCATATGGTAACGTTTTGTGACTCAGAAATGGTGAAGCTGGCGCAAGACTGACCAGTTGACATTATTTTCATATATATACAGACAAATTAGAGACAATGGAGTCGCTGTATCACCAGACAAATAAGTTAATCCAGGAAGTGCAAGGCGATCTCGGGAAGGTGGAGAGGACTGTCGGAGATCATGTTCATTTGATAGAGAACGAGATTCAGGCTCGGATAGATCACATTGTCAGCAACTGTGAACGTTTAGAGATCCTGGTAAACAAAGAGCCACCAACTCGCCGTGCTCACGCAAAAATGAGAGTTGACCAACTAAAGTACGACTGCCAGCACATACAGGCCGCCCTTAGACAGATTCAACACAAACGGTAGGCAAAGAACCCTGTTATCAAATCGGATCCACCGATCTGAATCATGCTGTCTTTCATTTGGTAATTTTCAGGAATTATTTAAATGATGAAATATGAAATTTTATTTAAATATGATAGAGCTGACAGCAGAGGAAATGTTACTCCCATATCAGGTCCAGTACACTCTGCCGATTGAGCTATATAGCTGTAAAGACCTATAATAGCTCTATTGACCTATGTGAAATAGGTCTTTTGAGCTATTTTAAAGTGATTTTCTTTTTTAAGGAAAACGAAACAAAGTCGCTTTTAAAAGAAGATTGTATCATTAAGTTGATAACAAAAGACATTAAATATGGGTATTCTTTTTAAAAAATAATGATGTAAAAAAATCGGAAATTTTACATTTATGAAAAATGAAAATAAATATCTAAATGTATGCTTTTTGTAGTCAACATTACCATAAACCTTATTGTTTTATGCGACTTTGCTTTAATTTAATGAAATTTGAAATCTGAGAAAATATAGCTCAATACAGCTATAATTTATAGGTGTATATAGCTATATAGGTCTTTATAGCTATATAGCTCAATCGGCAGAGTGTACTGGACCTGCATAACATGAGAGGGCGCTGGTCGGCCTTTTTTCTATCGGATATGATTTTGCCGAGTGCGCGGCGCGTGTCAAAAGTTTTTCGCCATGTAAAACCTCTAATATTGTTGGAGTAAGGAAATGTAAACTATACTGTTTACATGACAAAGTCAATATAAGAAAAGACCAACTCATACCTCCCCGCCACAAAAGACACGCACACCGGAACTCATATCAAACACTCTCATGTAAAACACAGGTACGACAACAATCCTTCTTCGCTCGTACCATAGTAGACTGGAATAACCTGCCTCCAGATATAACCTCCATTACCTCTTCTGACTGCTTCAAACTGTCCCTAAACAAAAATCAATTCTTACTCCCATACTTTATAAATACTCCCTTTCACTATCTTTTCTTCTTTTGGCCTAGCACCCACTTTCACATGTCATAATCTTCAAATAGATGAAGGTGGCCATTATATGTACATGTAGATCTCTATAGTTAGAATAAAATCAGTGTATCAAAAAAAATATTTTAGTTCATGTATGTTTTAATGTTGTTGTTTTTTTCATTTACTACAGGTATGTAAAGGAGGAAGAGGAGCGAGAGAGAGAAGCACTTCTCACCCGTACTTTTACCACTAACGACCAAGACCGTGACACATCTATTCAGATTGATGCCGGCATGGCCCACAATGAACGACTACAGAATTCACATCGTGACATGGACAACCTGTTAGGCTCTGGAAACAGCATCATTGACAATCTGCGTGATCAGCGGGTTACTCTGAAGGGTGCTCACAAAAAGATGCTGGACGTCGCCAATGTACTAGGACTTAGTAATACAGTGATGAGACTTATAGAGAAACGCTCCTATCAGGACAAATACATTCTCTTCGGAGGCATGGTGGTCACATGTGTTATCATGTATCTTGTATGGAGTTATCTAACCTGATCTGCAGCTCCAGTAGGATTTGCATTGTTAATTTTGTTGTAAAGACCTGTTTAAGCATTAATTCAAAATCATTCGATGAGCATGGCATGCATTTCATGCAAAAAAGTTTATTTAGAAATTCATGTGTTCTGTAAAATGTAAATGGTCAGTAAAAGATTCTTGGGGATCTTTCATAATAAGTCATGATTATAATTCTTACTTATAATAATTGAAATTCATCGCAATAGTTCCTACAGAAATGTCCTATTGTTTTAGTGTTAGACCAGTACGAAAATGGTACAGGTATAATGCTGTCAAATTTAATATTACTTAGATTCCATGTTTGTCAGAATTCTCTTATAGAACACATTTTTCGAGTCTGGTGTGATAAAGTAAGCTAAAACACTGGTATAGTTGGTAATAGTCTACTTCATTCATTCATTGGTCTTTAATTGCAAAATAAGTTTGTGAGATAAACAAACGTCATACATAATCGTATACTATGGCATTGAATTGGTGTGTAACCTTATTCATATCTTGTTACTCTAGTTGTCCATCCTACTGGCTATATCATCTCTTTGTGTCCTTTCCTAACTCAGCTTGTTGGTGTCATATATATGTCATGTTTTCCTTTTACTTGAGTCACTAAGTTGGAAATTTTTATATCCATCTTTAATCCAAGTTTTATATAATTCTTGTTTCCCTGAAGATGATTGAATTATCTTCGTGATACTTTGTACAAGTAACATTAAACATAAGCTTGAAAGTTGAAAATCAATCTCTTGAAAGTTGAAAAACAGAGTCGTTCATCCTGCTGACTATTCCATTTCTGTGTGTACTGTCCACGCTAAGCTTGTTGGTGTAAAAGTTGTTTTCTGACTTGGGTTTGCAATATGACCCTCTCATCCCAAACTTTGTCTTTTTTTGTAAGTTAAATTTCTACTTCGATTAATTGTAATGGCCTCTAATGGTGGTAACTAAGTGGTGTATGTTCCTTGCCTTGTCACTTAATTGATGTGAAACCCGGTATATTTGTCCAGCTTCACGTTTACCAGTACGTATATACTTTGGCGGGCTCCATCAATGCTTTCACTGCCATGACAACATGTCTTTCTGATGTAAGTGCATATATTGTCCTGATTACAACATGCTTCTGCATAGGTTGGAGTTTATTCCCAGAGGCCTTATTAATCCTCAATACTTCAGTGGTTATGCTCACGTATGTAATCTGCATCCCTGGAATATGTCATGACAAAATTGAAGGCACACAATTAACTATTAGGTAAAAAAAATATGCCTGGCTGATACCTGTCCTTTGAAGATTACAGACTGGAGTATTGAAGATGAGAGGTCTTAGTCTCATGTTTATTGGATCAACTTTTGTAATGCTCTTTTTGTCACACTAGACTTCAATTCTCAGAGTTGTTTTTCGTGTCATTTTTCATTGGAACAGGAGACATAACATTTTGTAACAAATATTACAATTTAAGTTGTAAGTTTTTACGTTGATTTATAAACTGCCACAGAACACACAAGTTTTGTCTGAAAATAGATGATTGATTGAGAAAGATTAAATGATGGCGCTATTAGGTGACCCCATACCTTTTCACATCCAATCGTGGAATCCAACCCCAGCCGTCTTGGTGAAAGACGAGTCTGTTATTCACTGCTCAACCCAACCAACTAGTCTATGATTCAATTGTATTGAATTTAAGAAAATATGTTCTGAACCTAAAGTAAACATGCATTTTTGCACTGTTCAGTGCAGGTTGATATTACAACGGCACGGTAGTCCAGTGGTAGGATGCCGGGGCTCGTGACCGAAAGGTTGTGGGTTCGAGTCACGGCACGGCACTGTGTTGTCTCTTTGAGCAAGATACTTTACTCCGCTTGTTCCAGTCTACTCAGCTGTAAATGAGTATGTGGTTGGACAGTGCTAGAATTGTTGAATGCTAGCTCTTGGTGCCGAAATGGCAGCTCCGACTGTATTTAATGCTCCCCAGGGAGTTGAGAAAGGTATTGGCTGGTTGCAAAGGCCCTATAACCACAGATAATAATTTGTGAACCGCTTTGAGACGACCTTCAAACTAGGTTGTGATAAAGCGCTATATATTAAAAGAACCTCAAATTATTATTTATTATTACATTGATAGTCACGTGTATAATTTTGGCACCTATATATGTATTTATTTAAACGGTAATTTTGTATATAATGAAATCTATAAAAGTAAACGGTAACACATGATGTACATATGTACTCGTTATAGCAAATAATCAAACCCGAAATTTGACATGACATTTTGTTGATCCGAAAGAAGTTAAAAATCTTTTTTTATGATCGATTTTGCAAGACATATTTTTTGTTTAATTTTGTTATCCATATTTGTGAATAATTATGAAAAAAATAAAACAAACAAAAAAATCAATATATAGTTCTGTCTGTTGCAATTATTTTGATATTTTAACACTCTTAACTAAAAGACAATATTCACTATTATTTATATGACTGGTGCTAATTCCTAGTCCCGATTAGAGGAGCGATGTCATGTGACGAGTCTGTAAATATGTTACAGACCTTGTTCTATGAATAGAAAAGTATTACAGACCTCGACCTATAAATAAAAAAGTGTTACAGACCGCTACTAAAAATAGGCATGAATATTGTTGATGTGGATTGTGCAAATAATATTTACTTTAAATTAAATATCACATGAATTGAATCTGAAATTCTATTTTGTGTATGTTATTTTGTATTTGAAGTCACTCTGTGATTCCAAAATGGTTCGGCCTCTGTGAATATTGTTCAGACCAGGTTCGTAAATCAGGGATAGACCTCACCTGAAGTCCATAATTGTATAATAAAGTGTGTTTAAAGCCAAACATACTGGTCTAAGTTGATTTTCTTTAATTAACTCATTCACCCCTGAGATTTATTAATGAACTATTCTAACCTTTGAATTGGAAGAGTTCAAATGTGTCTTCAGGGGTGAATGAGTTAATTCCATGGTGAGTGAATTCTTCCAAACCTGCCCGAAGTTTTAAAACATACATTTATACAGAATGTAGGATGTATATCTCAGTGGAATGTCTGGTTTTTAACTAAATGTTTTTAAGTCAGTACTAGATAGTTGTAGCCATATCATGTGTTTTCTATTTCAATCATACAACAGCTAGTTGCCATGCCAACCGATACATCTGTTTATAATATATGTTAATTGATTGGTTATACGTTTAAATGTAGTTCATTTAAAGTGCAGAATGGTCAATATATGTGTTGGTCCCCGGTTAGTATATTTTATTATATTGGCAGTATTGAAATAGTTATAATGTGTTTCCTTGTGACAATTAACTCATGTTAAGATAAATCAATGATAGATATTCCATTGCAACTAAAATGTCTTAATAAATTATGAAGAATTACTTTTTTGTTGTTAAATATTTTGTCTTTTATTCTAATATCTGAATTAACAACATAATTTTACAACATAATTTTATGACTGCCTTTATTGATATTTGGGTGCCTCTCAACCAAAGATTGGTTTGAACAAATAGGAATCTATGAGATTATGAGATATTCAGTTCACATATATATATATATATATATATATGCAATGCGAAAATTGAAAACATATTTCCCCTCCATAGCGAATTAAATTGTGAGCAGGATTTATTTCTGTAGAATTGTAGTCAATTATATTTTAGTGCTTTACTCCTCATGGATGACATTGACCGTAAGGATATGTTGACCCAAGGCTTGACATTACGGTTAACCTCCGGTCAGTTTGGAAAAATAAATAAATAAATATTGTTTAACCTGTTTTAATTATACGAAATTGTAGCCGCCAAATTAAGCGTGAGTTCGATTATCAGAGCGAGTTTGAACAATTTGGGATTAATTCATAAAATATGGACGAATCTCAGGATTTAATGCTGTTTTCTGGCGAGCTTTGGTAAATACTTTATAGGGTGTATATCTCCACGTTTTACCCCTGTGAAATATTACATTTAGAATTCCGTCTTTCCATATTGCAGAGTTATCTTCTCTTGTGAGCAGGTATTGATTGTAACGTCATTTGTTTGTGAGAGAAACATCATCAATTTTTGAGAAAACAACTTATTTTACTCACACAAACCAATGACGTAACAATCAATACCTACTCACAAGAGAAGATAACTCTCCAATACGCAAAGACGGAATAGGCCTATAGACAGACCACAGCATCAATGAACAGGCCAAGTGTGAAATATGAACACACTTCTTAACTGTGACTTGCTATGTGTAGTATAGAGTAACAAGCACCTGTCATTGTTATATCTGCCGTATGTAACAGTCTCAATGGTAGAGGTGTACATGCACAAAGTATCGTTAATAAAAAAAAAATCATTCCTTTACAAGTTGTGATCAAGGGATCCATCTCGATGTTTTGGCCATTGGACTGGACTGATTTGATTGCCGCCAATCAGGCCCCCATTGCTCAAAGGTTGGTTAGAGTTGATCAGCCATTGTTAGGGAAAATTTCAAAATCTTAAAACAAAATTATCAAGAACACTCGATATCACTTAACTGCTATAGACAGATCAGATTTATGCGTTCCACTTAGATTTAGTTTGCGTTAATTTGAAAGCCCAATTTTTAAGTCACATGACAGTTTAAATTTTTCAATAATCATGCACTTGTTAAAGTTAACCATCCTTCGAGCATCTGTCTAAGTTTGGAGGTCCTGGGTTTGAATCCCAGGCTTACTGTGTTTTTTTCTGCTCCTGTTACAGTAAGTGCCCTAACTGTTACAGTTAATTGTCATACACTTATACCAAGGGGATATCCAAACCTTGGTTGTAAATAATTATTATTAGCTGTTGCCTTCAGAAACTACGAAAAAGGGGGGACAAATGTCTTGAGCAGACTACCAAGTTACTCAATTTGTTAGAGCGTCTTAATTTCTAGAGTTTAGAGGTGCTAGGTTCTGAATCCTGGTCTGGCCATGCATTTTTTCAACAATCCTGTTACATAAACATAATTGTATATTCTAGTTTAAGAGCCCATGCAAGGAAACGTGATTGAGAATGCTGATTAAATGCAAGTGATTGGGTCAAATGTTCAACATCTGTGCCCGCTAAGTGGTATGCAGGCTATTTACATAGACTTCGATATTATGATAAAATGGTATGCCTGTGTATAACCTCTCCAGATACAAGTCATAGGGGTGTGATTTCAGTCACGAGGGACTCTTACATCAGAAGTAACCTGGTATACTTGTCCGTTCTTTTGTAGTCTCGGGTTCATGTATGTGATGGATTAGGTTTTTAATTTGTGATTTAATAGTTTTTTAAACAAAAGCTTAACTTCAGTTTAATCTAGTACTTGTCCATGCTTTCGGGATTTTACAAAAATGTTCTGTGTTTTTGTGTTTTCCGACTTGTGAAGAACTGTCGATCATGTGAATGTGAACAGGGATATCTCCGTCCTTTTGCTTATATATATATTAGTCGTACCCATAATTATTCAAGAACATCCTTTGGATATTTTTTGTGATTGAGATGTACAGTCCTGTTAATCATAACCAGATTCCTAAGGATTAAGACAACTTTTTGCATCCTCTATACATTTGTGACTTGGGAGCTACATAGTAAAAATCATCAGTTGATCTCGCAGATTTTTTTGCTCACATCTCCTGGCAGTTGTAGGCATATATCATAGCATTGCAAACAAGTAAGCTTGAGGATCATCCAGTTTTTTTCACGTGAGTTGTCCCCCCTCCTTACAGTACAGCCTTTATAAAACATAGACAGATGCCGGGGCCCGACCTTTCACCCAGGTACGTCCGCACAACACTCCTTCTGATGATGTCATCACTGCTGGTGACCTTGGTTGGATTCTCCACTCCTGCGTGGACCTCCTCTGAATTAGCTGTGCCAACGCCATTCGGAGATGCGATCACCTCCCATGTGACCACAGGTCTGTGGCGTGCATGTGTGGACGACGTGTGTGGGTCTGTGAAAGCTGACAATGGTATGTTATGAAGAAATTGAAATGAACATCTGTTTAAATTGTGTTGTTACTGCGTTCATTTTTATTTTTGGTAGTAATTGTTTGCTATAGAATTCTGTATGCATTGCAGTATATATAATGTAATTGTGTTACCAATACACACAAACTTCTATATTTATTTCATGTCTAGCTCAAATTATTTCAGGCTGTTAATCATAATATCATATATTTTCAATTATGTTAAAAGTTGCTTTTGGGGGGTTTCTAATTTTTGTGATTCTCGGTAACAATTAAATAAATAGCAAGAGAATTCGTCTTAATTGCAGTATGAATTTGTGCCATGGTCTTAAGACATAAAATCTGTGAAAAATAGATTAATCCTGTGAAAATTAATGACCATTATAACAAATCCTCAAAAATTAGAGACCACAAAAACACAAGAATTATACAGTAAATAATTAACATTTGACAGATACTGGCTGTACTTGGAAGTATAGCAGCCTACAGCTGTCAATATCTGAGTACCAAATGTTCAATGGGGTGCCCCATATGAAGCTCTGATATAGTGTAAATGTCAAAAGCCAAGGTCAAGGTAACAGGGTCAAATTAATATTGCCTTTTCAAAGGTCAAAGTCACAGAATCGTTCATTATTATGCTGAATATTACAGACATTCCTTAAAAGAATGAGTTGTAATTTATGGATTTATACAAAATGAACATTATATGTGCCACTTAAAATGCTAAAGAGATTAGATTTTAGAGGTCAAAGGTAAAGGTGTCATTGTTTGGACAGAATTAATTAACTCCTCAAGAACAGTTTAAAGATATTGTACATGTTCCTTGATTTCATAACTATTTGTCATAGCAAGAAAGAATGGATTACGATCTTTGACCAATACTACACGGGGTCGGTTAATGAAACAAACATATACAGCGAAACCTCGATATAACGCCCCTCGTTTCATTTGCCACCTCGTTTACCGCCAATATACATGTATTTCAATGTCTCGTTTTCTTAAGAATTTCTTTACACATTCTCCTCTTTTTATCGTGAAACCCCTTTATAATGTCTTTCTTTTTCTCTGAACATATGGTGGCAGTATAGCAAGGTTTGTCTGTATACCTATTGCTGTACTTGTTACAGGCTGGTTGTTAGCAACCCGTGCATTTGTCACCTTGGGTCTACTTGCCGGCCTTATGTCTACGATCCTATTTCTGCTGTACATCTTCGTAGACAGGACGCACAACGCTGTTATCTACCTCGATATCATCATCACAAGTCTCGTGCAGGGTATATCCTTTCATTTTCAAGTTTTATCTCAAGTGTCAGCCATGGTTTAATCAATGATATATATGTGTTAGTAGTTCTATTTCAGAAGTATTCCTAGAATATTTTAACCCTTTCACCCCTATGTAACTATAGTAGACTCTACCATGCATTGATCTGGATGAGTCCATTATGGTCTACAGTGTTGAAAGGGTTAAAGCCTTTAGTACATTTTGATTTGTATTTTATATAGAACAGCATTCACTGAAGTAATTATTAGCTAGAAGTGTTTTTTCTGTTAGAAATTTGATCAAACCTTTTATTCATTAATACATTCCAGATATTCTATAGGAGGAAATTTTTGTGTTGAAATTTCAATTGTTCTGAAATCTATGTAATTGTTCTGATTACATTGTATAATATATAAATAATTACTGTATACAGGAAAATGTTCAGTGAGACTGCCCTTCTACAGTAAAATCCATATTCGCCCACAATGTATATTATGTTGTTTACTATAATGATAAATTCGCCCTGCCCTCATTACGGAGGGCAAAAAAGGCTAAAAATTCAACTGCAGTGAAAATTTCCTGGTATACAGTTGTAGCAGAACTGGACTGGGTCGATCGTCTGCAACCAGGTAGCTCAATTGGTAGAGCATCCATCTAGAGTTCGGAATGGCCCGGGTTCGAACCCCGGTCTGGCCATGCATTGTCCCTCTCCTGTTACACAGTATTTCCCTACTAATTTACTCAATGCTTAAAAAAACACCAGCAATTCCGCACCTGAAGTGTTTTGTTACATGTTAGTTGGATAGCATACACCCTTAAGTACATTCATACTTTGTCTTTCAGTTGTTTGCGTCCTGTTGGCTGTGTGTATATACGGCTCCAATGCCCCAGTAAACCTGGCCTGGTCCTTTGCCTTTACCATAGCTGGAATGTGTTTGGAGTTTTTGGCAGCAAGCATCCTGATTGTAAAGCGATGGTTCATACAGGATCATGATGAGTTTTGACACCTTATGTATGTGAATATTAGTGTTGCTGAGCATTTCATTGTTTGTTTTAACTAATAGATATTATCCAAATACATAGGTGCTTTGATGTTGTTTTGTTTATGGTCCTGTAGCGGAACAGGACTGGGTCGATCATCAGCGACCAGGTAGCTCAATTGATAGTGTCCGTTTAGAGTTTGGAGGGTCCTGGGTTCGAACCTCGGCCTGGCTGTTACCATTTCTCTTTCTCCTGTTACAAAATTGGCAAGCTTGCCAACCCTTGTTTCAAGCAGCGGGTGCATGCTGAGCAAAGGGATACCCAAACTTGGGTTGTAAATAGTTGTGTCTTTGGGGCGGAAGACTTAGAAAAAGGTGGGAGGAATGTAGCAGAACTGGACTGAGGTGATCGTTAGCGACCAGGTAACTTATTTGGTAGAGCGTCTGTCTAGAGTTTGGAAGGCCACGGGTTCGAACCCCGGTCTAGTCTTTACATTTTCTTTTTCTCCTGTAACAGTCCACATGTTTGCTATCTATATAAATATCTTAGTTTTGATACAAGTAAGAGTGCCTTCTTATATATATGCTTGCATAACAAATATGTAAACATTACATAAAACAATGGCCGATATATTCTACAAAAAAGTGAATTTTGTCAATTGAGGTCATTGTTGTAATTTGGTAGATACCGAGGTCAAAGAACAGCTTGAGGTTGCAGTGATCCCTAATTGGTGTGTGTCACATGCATTACCTTCTTAAAATGTACTTGCATATCAAGTTTGAAGTCTAAAATGAAAGAGTGGCAGAGATTATGCTCCAAAAGCCAGTCGTTTCAGTACCAAAGGTCAAATATAGGTCACTGTGTTAGAATTCTGTACGCTACACTGATCCTTCTCATGATCTACCTACAGTACACCAGAGGCCGATTGGTCAAGCTGTCTGACCATCTGTGATCACTAGCCCTCCACCACTAGGTCGCGGGTTCGGGGCCTACATGCAGCAGTCACCAGGTACTGGCTGCGGGTCAGTGGTTTTTCTCCAGGAACTCTGGCTTTCCTCCACCACCAAAACCTGGCACGTCCTTAAATGACCATAGCAGTTAATAGGATGTAAAACACAAACAAACCAAACCTACATACCAAGTATGATGTCCATACTTGAAACTGTGACTGAGATTTGCTTTGTTGAGATCTGTTTTATTGCTGCCTTGTACAAGTGTTTTGCACCTTTTTCTGAAGCAGTTTTTTTGTTTGGTTTGTTTGTGTTTTACGTCCTATTAACAGCTATGGTCATTTAAGAATATGCAAGGTTTTGATGGTGGAGGAAAGCCAGAGTTCCCACAGAAAAACCACCGACCAGCGGCCAGTACCTGGCGACTGCCCCACGTAGAACCTGCGACCCAGTGATGGAGGGTTATAGTGTTCAAGACAGTCAGACGCCTTAACCACTCAGCCACTGCAGCCCCTCTCAAGCAGGTAACAGAATAAATATCATGGTAATCACTGAATTGTCACACATAACCATTTCACTGGTTGTGCTATACGAGTCTGTATACTATCCATACTTAACCATCCTGAAACCTGGTCATTACCATTTCTCTTTCTCCTGTTACAAAATTGGCAAGCTTGCCAACCCTTGTTTCAAGCATTGGGAGTAAGATTGGCAAGGGGATACCCAAACTTAGGTTGTAAATAGTTGTCTTTGGGGGCGAAGACTTAAAAGTCTAAGTCTGTCTATGTCCATGTGTAAGCAAATACAAAAGGTGGACAAACCCTACGCGAAATGAAAGTGGTGTTAATTGCCAACCCTGTAATATGTTGGATCAGTGTATATATATAAACAACTCTCCAGAAATAAACGATGTAAAACAAGTTCTCAGTTATTAAAACATGTCAGTTTATTACATGATTACAGTGAGCTTGTGGAATACTATCAAATCACTGATAGTAGATGTCACACCTCCCCAACAAGGTGATCTTGTTGTGAGTTGTGAAAAATCTTTACAAATGAATCGCAAATATCTTACAAATGATAACGGTTAAAAAAACAGATTGTCATGTATAAGCTTACATATCTTCCTGTACACAATGATAGCATGACGTGAGAATGTACAAAATGGATATGAATTTGACTGTAAAATTTCGTCACGAAACAATTATATACAAAGTCAGCTTGCTGCAAATTCAATAAAACACTTAATTTTTCGGAATACTTACTTTCATGTATGTGCTACAAACGACTTTGGGCTATAATTTGCAAGAGGAACTACAACATGTGTGTATTTTCCTTGTTCGAATATAAATTGTCTGAAAATACATAGAAGTGAGTTCTCCCTATTTCCCTCGTAGAGGAGTCACTCCCTATATATATTTACCTTTTTAATTTTGAGACTTCAAGTGCCTATCATCTTAAAGTTCCTGACGTGTTGAAAATGTGTCGATAAATACCAATAATTACATAAGAACAAATTATGTTTACCAGTATTTCTTTTTATTTTATTTTCTGCAAATCATTATCCTCACAAATTGGAAATATTTGCTGCAGTTCAACTTATGCTTTTTTGCGCTTCGTACGGAGAGCAATCGAGTTTATGAAGACAGTGATTATCGTTTTGAAACATTTCAGTGAAAGGGGAAATTTTTACCCGGCTAACGTATTCCGTATGTGTTAGTTATTTGTAGCACTAGCACGTAAAATAGGTACATGTACCCTCGAAACTGAAATGTTTTCAGTATGCAAGTATACATTGACACATGATCGCTAGTCACAGTTTCTGAGGTTATTCTGTTGCACATATGTTCTCATCTGCTACTTACGTTTTCACTACAATCCACTACACCTCTACAATTCCCCTGAAAGAAGTAATCTCTGACCTTTAGAAAGCATTCTACCACAACTTTCAATGGAAATTGGCTAGGACAATTTAAGCTGACATTTCTTGCCTTGCAAAGATACTAGTATATAGATATGAATAAGAGACAGTCTTATACACACAGTTATGAAAGAAATATAAATCATATTCTCATAGATGTGGGGAAAGTCTTACAAACACAGGTAAGAGAGTCTTACACACACAGGTAAGACAGAGTCTTACACATACAGGTAAGAGAGTCTTATATGTACAGGTAAGAAGGAGTCTTACACATACAGGTATGAGTTGGACTAACACATACAGGTATGAGAGAGTCTTATACATACAGGTAAAATAGAGACTTACACATACCGGTAAGAGACAATCTAACACATACATGTATGAGAGAGACTTACACATACAGGTAAGAGAGAATCTTATACATACAGGTAAGAGAGAGTCTTGCACATACATGTATGAGTGTCTTACACACACAGGTAAGAGAGAGTCTTACACATACAGGTAAGAGAGTCTTACACACACAGGTAAGAGAGAGTCTTACACATACAGGTACGATAGAGTCTTACACATACAGGTAAGAGAGTCTTATATGTACAGGTATGAGAGAGTCTTACACATACAGGTAAAATAGAGACTTACACATACAGGTAAGAGACAATCTAACACATACAGGTACGATAGAGTCTTACACATACAGGTATAAGAGAATCTTATACATACAGGTACGCGAGAGTCTGACACGTACATGTATGAGATATTCTCACACATACAGTTAAGAGTCTCACACATACAAGTACGAGAGAATCTTACACAAACAGGCGGCATGAGACTGCCTTGCACACAGGTATGAGATAGTTTTCTACATAAAGGTACAGGTCTTACATATCTATTAGCACTATCAGTTTCCTCAAACATAGCCATCTACATTTATTATTAATGAATAATATTAGCACCAACAAATCAACAATCATATTGGGAACAAAATAAGTGAGAATCAATTTCCAGTAAAACTTAGTTAAGTTAAAGCTTTGAAAATATATATAGCTAACAGATCATTATAAATAGAAATTTGTGAGAAATTAACTCATTCACCCCTTAAAGACACATTTAAACTCTTCCAATTCAAAAGGTTTGAATAGTTCATCATCAAATTTTAGGGGTGAAAGAGTTGAGCAAGTCATTAACTTAGACTATCACTAACAAGTGACCTTGTAGAATTCAATCCTACCATGTTATATATAAATCAAATTTGTACTTTGTAGCTAACTTGCATCTAAAATACTACACAGAGTTTGTGTGACAATATTGGAGTAAGATTACAACTCAAATTGCACTTGTTAGTCATGAGTAGACTGAACCGATGAACACATATGTTGTGAACTTTGAGTAAAGTTGATGAACACTCATCTCTTACAATTCAAGATCAATTGTACCTGATGAACAGGCACAACATTTCGACACCAGAATGAACATGTTCTAAACACAATTTCTAATTCTGTTCCATGTGCCCTATCAGGGCCTGTGTGATGATTGTTCCATGTGCCTGTGTGATCCATTGTTTCATGTGCCCTAGCAGGGCCTCTGGGATAATTGTTCCATGGGCCTGTGTGATCCATTGTTCTATGTGCCCTCACTGAGCCTCTGTGGCCCATTGTTACATGTGCCCTAACAGGGCTTGTGTGATCCATTGTTCCATGTGCTCTAACAGGGTCTGTGCGACCCATTTTCCATGTGCCCTCACAGGGCCTCTTTGACCCATTGTTCCATGTATCTTCACAAGGCCTGTATGATCCATTGTTCCATGTGCCCAATCAGGGCCTGTCTGATCACAGTTCCATGTGCCCTAACATGGCCAGTACTAGTGTGAACACCAATCTATGTACCATTCAGGGCCTGGGTAAACACTGTTTAACACTGATTGGTTAATCAGACTGTTGGAAGCTTACATATCAGACATGTGCTCCAGTGGGGCCTGCACTGACCTAATACCCAAGTAGGCTTCAGTAACTGGTATTGACAAGGACCAGAGATGGAGAAAGGCCTCCAGTGACTTATATACCCTGGTAGGGCCTTGGTTACTTGTACAGGCGAGGGCCCAACAGGGTCAGACTTAATACCCTAGTAGGGCTAAGTAATTGGTACGTACAAGGGCCGGACTGGGAGAAGGGTATATGGTGACTAAATACTCTAGTAGGGCCTTGGTAACTGGTATGGACGAGGGCCAGACTGCGAGAAGACAAGATTGCCAGGCATGACTCCCCCCGCAACATTCATTGGGAAGAGGACTGAACTGTTGGGCTGGACGATCGAGCGGTTCTGGACAATGGCCTGCTGGTTTTGTACGAGACCAGTGGGTGTTGGTTGGCCCTGGACTTGCACCGTCTGCATTCCCATCTGTAAACAGTCACCAGAAAACACAGTCATTAATAGAACAAAACATGTATCAGAGGTCATAACTATTTTTAATGAAATATTTCCACTATGGGTAAAAGCCGAGACCTCTGGTGTAATACTTTTGCCCTGAAATGTTCGCCGCAGTTTAATTTTTGCCTTTTTCACCCTCTCCCCAATGAGGGCGATTAATTATGACAGCGAATACTGGTACACAACATGCAATACATAGTAATTAAATGTGAAGGACCGAATTTACACTGGGCGGACATGCATTATATCGGCAAGGAGCAAATATTTAACTGGCCAAACGTGAATTTTATCGGCAAAAGGCGAATTTTTTACTGGGCAAAAGTTTCCCTTTATTATATATTAGTCTTTTACGATAATGAATGAGCTCAAGAGAAATTTCCCTAACACCGTCAGTACAAAGTGGCTAGTATTTTATATTACCAGGGAAACACACATATTAAAACATTGAATTCAAATTTGTGTAGTTAGTGTAACAGATAACTTATACAGGTAACACATGTATTGCATCTCAAATGTAAAAGTTAAGTTAAAGATCACAGCCTGTGTGTAGCACTATGATCTAATTACCTGTGGAGTGAACTGCTGGACAGGTAGCTGGCTCTGAGGTAACGAGATGATGGGCTGGGGGGACTGAACATACTGTAGAATGGGCTGGCTGGTGACGATGTGGGAACTCCCAGACAACATCTGAGGATTACCGGTGCTCTGTGGGATCTGTTGAGGTGGAAACTGTGCTGCCTAAAACATCATCAAAGGACTTAAGGCGTTATGGGTCATTTGTGGCTTAAAAAAAAGTGAAAAATTTGAACTTGAACTGATCTGATTTGCCAATTTCTGTTATAAACATCATATTAGGTAATTGGGGCTATATCTTTCTTGGTGCAGATTTTTCCCAATGCACTTATATGCTCTACCATAGCAACGAAACTGCATTGCTATGCAGAAATAGCCAAAATATGGTATTTTTGGACGGTTAACATGCAGACAAACACCCAGCATGTGACAAACAAGAAATCCTTTCTACAAATGAACACTGGTATATATAACAATGATTAAGCATGTCAGATATTTATTTGTTTGTTGCATGTGGCGGCTTTAAAACATTGAAGAGTGTTTTTATAATTTCCTTCAAAATGACCAATTTTTCAACCAAACATTGTCCAACAGACGATATTCACACATATTATCATGGAAATGTGCGTTAATGTCTCCCTTTGTGATGTTACATCTCCTAAACCAGTTGTCGAATGAATTTGAAATTTTATATTTGCGTACTTCATCTATTCCAGATAACGAATATAACAACTCATTCTAAATCCCTGTTGAGGCCGGAAATGACCCTTAAAACCCCTAGTCCTTTGTAGTACTGTAAGCAGTTTGTTATCATAATGTCCCTGCCATTCTATTCAATTTCAAAAGTATTTTATTGACAATACATATATAATACAAACATATAAGTTAACATTAAAGGAGATATTTGAACAGTATTGACAAAAGAATAAGACAACAGGCTTTGCCTATATCACTTAAATATATAAAATGTTGTGATTCGTTTTCCTCTCACACTCATGCACACCCACACCCACACCAGCTTATGTATTAAATACTCGTTATTTAAGGGATAAAACTTGCCTGAATAATAATAATAATAACAATACATGAATATTCATTTGGAATTTATCTACCACGTATAAGTAACGAAACCTTTTGATGATTTAATATAAGAGTCAACATGTATAAGAATAGTTTTATTTAATTGGTCGGATGCATTACTAATACCATATACTAAACAGTGCAGATTTAAATATCCTACTAGATTATAAATAGTGGTAATATGATGCCTAATATTATAATACAGAGGACATTGAAAGAAAAAATGTATTAGATCTTCCCTCTGTACACCACATACACAGGAAGCATCATCAATCAGATGATCTTGTAACTTATCAAAGTTAAGATCACTTTTAAAATTTCTTAGCTGACATAAAATGATGTTAAGTTTCCTCGGAACATAGTTAATAAAAGTTTCTGAGACGGATGTATCAAAGTTTTTTTTAAGTTTCTTTATAAAAGATGAAATTGAGATGGAGTCTCGTACAGTGCTATCAAGTGCATTCCATTTTACCATTGTAGAAGGGAAGAAGCTATTCATATAAGTAGTAGTTCTTGTCTGTGGTATATTAAAGACTCTTTTATTTCTGAAGGTATAGTTATTATTTACATTTAGAAATGGTTGAATGATATTATCGAGATAAGTTGGAGTGTAATTATTAAGAATCTTATACATTAATGTTAGTTTATGATTTTGTCTTCGTGTGTGTAATGTTTCAAGTTGTGTTTCAGTATACAGAATGTGATGAGATGTACCTCGTCTGAGGCCAGTAATTAAACGCATAGCGTCTAGTTGAACTGATTCTAAAAGATCTGATTCAGATTTGGTACAATTATCCCATTCTATTCGTAGGTAAGGGAGTTGGGGAGATGAGCATATAGTGTTACATGGATATATACAGGCCTTAATGAACAACTAAAGAACAAAGGAAGCCTATATATGACATTGGATATATCCATCCAGTACTTCTAGTGAAATAGCGATAACAAGAATATTAACTTATGACACACGGACCAGACGAAGGGCGATTTGATCTGATGAAAACACAGTAGTGTCTTTCAATCATCACATATTACGTTACTGATCTATTATTAAAGTAAAATGTTTAAATTCAGTGTTTTGAAAAAATAATCGTAGAAATATAAGCATTTTTATATTGAGTGTAGTGAACCGAAGGATGAAAAGATTTAATACTCATTTCTTTTATACCAAGATATTGTAAAAGTGAAAATTTACACATGTTTGAAAAATTCGCATTTTTTGTGTTGCATTCATGATATAGGAGAAATTTGACCGAAAAAATATTCACATGCGAATATTTATTAATGTATTACGGTATATAGATTACAAATAAACTGAATAAAAAGATATCTGAACCATTGCCAAAATTTAAATATTAACAATGCTGTCAGTTGAAAGGGTCATAAAGCAGACATTGTACACACAAACATTTCCACTTTAACAGTGTACCTATCTTATTTCCGATAAATAATTATGAAAATATCGCCTATTCCAAATAAACCTTATTGTTTACATGTCATCGAGGAAAGGAAACATACAACAGAGTGTTGAATTACAAGCTACTGTGACGAACCTTTCCGATTGCAGCGATGCGGTCAGCCAGACGGATTCTCGGAACCTGGAATACCTTGGCGGCCTTGTTTACCGACATGCCTCCCGTCATTACGGCATTGTACGCCTCGGCCATACTCTGCTCCGTCCAGCCGTGGCTATTCACCTTCTTATTCAGTTGGTCCTATAATTATACAAACCATATTTAGAAGATGTTAATTCGGGGATTTTCTTGCACAGGTATCGTGCACCACCCTCCAAAATGATTAGTTTCTTTACAAATATCACAGTACATTGGATCAATGTGGTGAGATTAAACAGTGGTCAGATTAAACAGTGGTCAGATTAGACAGTGTGTTATTAACAGAAGCGCAAGATGGCCAACCAGTCTTTTGTTGCCAATAAGTTAACCCTTTCATCACTGTTGGCCATAATGGACTCATCCAGACCAATACATGGGAGAGTCTACTGAAGTTGCATAGGGGCGAAAGGGTTAAGATATATACATTACAGGCTTACAAAATCATTATGTTTGGTATATGCTTGTGTTTGATAGCTAAGGTCATTTAAGGACCGGCAAGGTTTTTGTGGTGGATGAAAACCGGAGTACAATGTACTCGGAGAACCACTACCCACCTGTAGTCGGTACCTGGTGACTACCCCACATAGGCCTCAAACCTGCAACCCTGTGGTGTAGGGCTATTGATTTTAGATGGTCAGATGCCTCAATCACTTTGCCCATACAAAATCAGGGTCCAAACAGGAATTTCAAAATGAAATTCCTTGTCGTTTATAGATGCTTCAAAAATACAGATACTTGGAAGAGTAACACAGATTACTCTTTGTTCATCATATGAACTTGTAAGGACACTAAGGGCACTTTCGTGTATACAGTTCAACCAGTTGAAACAATTGAACCTGAAAAGAAAATGACAGGCACAGATCTGAACCGAGGCTGACCTCAGGAATATTCGACATGTGTAGATTGAGGAGTTCAGACATACCTGACAGAAATTAAAATGCTGACTATTGCTAGTTTGCCTTATTTCTTTCAAAAACAATGTCAGGCCACATGTATTTTTAAAATACGTTTTGTAATTCAGTTGACGTGTGAAAGGGCATAATATTATTGATACATTGTTATTTATTCCCCAAACTGTGCATTTTTAGCTCTGCTTATAGAATGGTCCAAGTGTGTTCGTTTATCGTGGAATATTTCTGCGCCACCTGTGCCATTTCAACCTTGATACGCGAATGTAACCTAAAATCTAACACTGGTTGCAATGGTATCCTGAAATATCTGATATCTAATTGGAAAAAATATTTCAAGGCTCATTTTGACCTTTCAAGACCTTTTTCAGGGGCTGTTAGGTCCTTTCAGAAAATTGTAAGGCTTATTTAACTCTTCTGATCTTTATTGAACCATTTCAAGGTCTGTACTGTACAGTCAAAACAGCCCCATGACCATCCTCGATATCCAGGGGTTACGCTCACTTTCCCTCTCTGCACCCCTGGAATATATCATAGCAAAATTGAACGCACGCAGCTACCTATTTGATTTGTCTCTGTTAAAACAAACCTGACCAATTGCAAGGCTGATACCTGTCCTTTGAGGATTACAGAGGAGTGACACCCGACTTCAAAGCCAGTCATTTTTTTACTGTAATGTGACAGACAGATTCTTTTGATGTACATCAAAGGATCAAACTAGTCTCCGGGGCCATTTTTCGTTTATCGCGATCAAAACAATTGAACCGGTTTGACCATAGTTGTTCATTTATGAAATAAGGTCGGACCCAGTAATTTGATGCCACTTTTAGGCGAGCCTTGACCAAGCCTTGCAAGGCCTGCATAAACTTTTGCAGGTCCGCCAGGATATATACCTGAAAATGTTACATTTAAATAAATGAACAGGCCCCTAGCCTCATCCACAAGGTGATGACAACGAGCCTATGAAATACTCCAGGGGTGCAGAGAGCGAAAGTGAGTGTAACCCCTGGAGTATCGAGTCTGTCCCAAGACAGGTCCTACTGTACAGTAAGAGCACTCTGACTGACAAAAGACATATGTTCACACCTGATGTTCAGGTCAAAATCAACGGTCAAGTATCAGTACTTACCTGGTTCATTGGAGAGACTGCCCCAGGGCTGGGTACCATAGGATGGAACTGTAGTCCTCCATGGGGTACTTGTACAGCCCCAGGGGGGGGAAGCTGCGGAGCACACATGTAGGGCGAGATACCCTGGCGTAGGGGCTGGACATTGGTCTGTTCCCATAGCTGGGGGCGGGGTCTTTCCATCTACATCATACAGCGGGGTCATGTTAGACTTAACTCTTCACTATCCATGTCAGGTTAGTCTCATCTTACTGAACAATCCAGAAATCCTATCACATCCTAATTAACAACTCTAAACGTTGTTAACGTACACCAAACAAACAATCCTAAACACTGTTTAATCCTAACATACAATTTAAAATCCTGTTTTCTCCTAACGAACAATTTAAAACCCCGTCTTCTCCTAACAATCAATCCTAAACCCTGTTTACTCCTAATGGACAATTCTAAACCCTGTAATCTCCTAATGAACAATTCTAAAACCCTGTTATCTCCTAAAGAACAATCCTAAACCCTGTCTAATCCTAATGGACAATCCTTAACCCTGTCTAATCCTAAAGAACAATCCTAAACCCTGTCTAATTCTAATGAACAATCCAGAACCCTGTCTAATTCTAATGAACAATCCTAAACCCTGTCTCATCCTAATGAACGATATATCCAGAACCCTGTCTTTTCTTAACCAATTCAACAATTCTAAACGAGGTCTTATTCTAATCAATGATCCTAAACTCTGTTTCTTGTCCTAAAGAACAATCCTATATTCTGTCTTTTCCTTATCAACAATCAATGCTTTGAGTTTACAAGTTAACTGCAGTTTCAAAGAAGATATTCTTAAATAGTTTGTTCTATTTTAAAAAAAATAACGAACTACAACATATAAGGCTTAAAATATTTAGTTACTATCAGGTAATTGTCAGTAAACTGAATCTTTACCTTTGCATTATCACTGTATATACCAACCTCCACATCAATAGGACTCTCTCCACTCCCTAACACTGGAGTGTTTGGTGTCACCTGGGCAGACGACACCAAGGTCCCAGTCACTGAATTGGAACCAGTAGTAGACGTCTCTACAGCCCTGTCCGGTTCTTGCGTAGTCGGCTTGACACTTGGTGAAGACCCTACATTTGATTGGCTATCCTTATCACCTGCCTCCTTCTCATTGGCTGAGGCCTGTGCCTGCTGAGTCTGCATACATGTGGGCATGTGTTTTGGCCAGTGGGACTGCTGACACGGGTAGTCACAGTAACTGGTGTTCCAACAGCAGTAGAATATGGCCTCCTTACCACAGCTGGCACACTAAAACATATTACAAGTACTGGCCACTAAATAAAACTCACAAGTAAATGCCATTAAATAAAACTTACAAGCACAGGTCATTAAACAATAGGCCCATTAGGGCCTTAGCGGTCACCTGAGTTATATTATATGTACTTATAGCTCAATTTCATTGTTGAGATGTACAAAATGTGGAAAACAACATGTAAACAAAGTGAAATACAATACTTGTCATGTCACCAAAGGATAAGAACTTTAAAAACTATTCAAATAAATTATTTTGCTATTGAGAATACACCCTCTCCCCAAAGGAGAGCAGATGACCTGGGGGATAATGAAATTTACAATTTAGGTAATGGTAATTTAGGTAAGGACCATTCTATTCAAGAACAGTAAAACATCCGAGTCTGATGAAGAAGATTTTTCAACTATAATCCCCATTTGGGCCCCACTCCTCCATCCCCTGGGGATGGGGCAGGATCTTATTTTCTCATACCATTAAATTGCCATCTGGCATCATAATCATTCCAACCAAGTTTGAATAATTCCCTGCTGAAAATGGACAAAATATACCCAAAAGTGTTATTTCCCTATATAAACTAAAGTAAAATTTACTCCCTCCCCAAAGGAGAACGGATTGCCAGGGGGTACTGAAATTTACAATTTAAACAAAGCCCCTGATGATCTTTCCATCCATGCAGAGAAATTGACTGTATGTAGTACCTCTGAGTCTGGAGAAGAAGATTTTTAAAATATTTGTTAACGTTCCATTTAGGGGCAGCCCCACCCTGGCCCCTGGACTTGGGGCAGGAATCCCAATTTTACAATTTGATACAATCTTCCTGCAAGGATGATTCTCACCAAGTAAGAATATTTTCCTACTGAAAATGAACAAAATATACCCAAAAGTGTTATCCCTCACTTTCAGGACACTAATTAGATATTGTGCGTAAATATCACGGATCACATAGAACTCAGCATGTGACTTATTCACATGTATGTGGATGAGGAGTTTCGTTGAAATTGACGCATTAGTAGAGCAGTTATTACATTAGCCAATCACAAGTTTGTAACCTCATTAAGTGTCATGCATGAATATGCACGGATCTTGATCCTGATCAAACTCAAAATACTGATACCCGGTAATTAGTTTGGTCTGAATGATAAATGCTCAGTTTGCTTTGACCATAAACAGGAATTGAAAACTTATTTTGCAAGCTTTCAAAAGCCTCCGTTTCCATTGTTAAAGCAAGTAGTGTAAATAGCCGGTGTCTTGACTCAAAACCGCTGAAAACAACTCACTCAGCCACAATGGGCCAAATCAGTAAAGTAAGCTGTCAGAAAATATCATGACATTTTGCCAAATAGCACTGTAATACTGCAGGCATTCAGGGGGACTGATACACAATGTAACAAGTTTACCCATTTCGCTCCTTATTTTTTGAATTCCTGATTGAGTTCAAACAAAGAAGGCACGGTAGTCTAGTGGTAGGACGCCGGGCTCGTGACCAAAGGGTTGCGGGTTCCAGTCACGGCACTGTGTTGTATCTTTGAGCAAGATACTTTACTCTGCTTGTTCCAGTCTACTCAGCTGTAAATGAGTACGTGGTTGGGCAGGGCTAGAATTGTTGAATGCTATCTGTTAGCGTCGAAATGGCAGCTCCGGCTGTATGCTCCCCAGGGAGTTGAGAAATGTATTGGCTGGTTGCAAAGGCCCTATAACCACGGATAATAGTTTGTGAACCGCTTTGAGACGACCTATGAACTAGGTTGTGATAAAGCGGTATATAATTAGAACCTCAAATTATTATTTATTATTAAAACAAACTTTAAAGCAATCAATGTATTGGTTATAAGCTACATTAACATGTATACGGCGATTGTTCTTTGCACCTCACCCATTGTTTTTTCTTGGTTTCGTTGATAGCTTTTTCTTTGTCTTTACTATTCAGACTGTTGACCTCCGACACAATTCGCTGTTTCTCTGCCTCCCAACACGTCTTCATCTCTGCCATGGTCAACTCTGTTGGGTATATCATAATAGGTAGTTATGGATTTATTATTTAGACAGGGTAACTTATTAAGACATTTGTCTTATTTACAATATGTGGCCCTGTACAAATTAACACTTAATGTATATATTTACACGCAACATTTGGTCATTTATTTTTTACAACAGTCATATTTAACTCATTCACCCCTGAAATTTCATTATGAACTATTCCAGCCTTTGAATTGGAAGAGTTCAAATGTGTCTTCAGGGGTGAATGAGTTAGAAAATTTAATATATAAAGCAGACAAAACCCCAAAATATGTAAGATTACATACACATGACTTACTTGACTCGCTACCACATTCGGGGACGGTGGTACGAAAGTCCAGAAATGTAAAGAAATTGTACCAGCAAAGAATGGAAAGGGCAATCAAGTGACCGGAGGGCAGGGGAGGAGGAAAGAACATGGTTTGAACATGGTACAGTCAAACTTCAAAGAACTTACGGCAAAGTCTTGAATTTTCTTTTTATAACACTACTGATAATCCGTTTATGAATCAAACTTCTATGAGTTGAATTTCTCGCTGATCCAAATAGTACAATCAAGGTTCAATTGTTATGAAAGCATTACAAAATGACAAATAATGAATCAGAGTAAAACAATTACCTAGTGTATAAGAACATTGAAATGTACAGTGGCCACTTAAACACCTTAACATGCAAACTAAGGTTATTTTTTTTCTATTTAAATCGACTATAGATAGATTTCAGATTGATTTTTTAACTTGTTTTCCATCATTTTACAATCCTATTCAGTATTATGCAGTTTATACAGGATCTCAAATTTGTTCCAAGTTCAACATTCTGACTCCTGATGGTTCCGTAAAGTTTGAAACACTGCATTTTTATTGTAAATCACCGTTAAAGCATTACATCCTAGTATACAACAGACTGGTACTGTATGCTCAGTATGGAGAATTTCTGAGTTGAAGTTTCAATATTTCAAATTCCTGATGGTCCCGTCCCGCAAAGTTCGTAAACATCGAAGTTTGACTGTTAATATCCCAGAAAGGGTTACATCGATCCTGGTAAACAACGAATATGCGAGACTGGCACCGTATGTTCAGTATGGAGAATTTCAGATCTTCCAAGACTTACGAAAGTTGTGTTTGAGCTCCAGAATCTGTTGATGTTGCTCCCACCTTAATTTCTGAATCTCTGCCTGTAGATCTTTTGTCACATTCTGTGGTACGAAAGAATATGATTATAATTCCCAGCAATTTAAGTGACAAATTTGTGTGAGGTGACAAATTTCCTAACAAATATGCAAAAATCATCTACCTATACTATCTTTGCTTTAAATATTTTCATATTTTCAGGTTTTATTCAGTTCTGGGCATTCATAAAGTTATTCACTTGTACAATTTACCGTAATTCATTGGGTAAAAGCCCATGTTTCATATTTCTCTCAAATTATTGCACACTCGGATATAAGTCCACCCCAAATCAATCTTTTTCTGATATAAAACTGGCAAAAGCTGAACAATAGTTTAAAGAGTGAAAAGCAGAAATACCAGTACAAAGGCTTAAATACATCCATAGCTTGATCTACACTACACTGCAGACTCGAAACGGGCTGGTAGATGTACATTTAGATTAACCCTTTCAGCACTATAGACCATAATGGACTCATCCAGATGAATGTATGGTAGAGTCTACTCAAGTTACCTTAAAGGGGTGAAAGGTTAACTCTCCAATGCTTCCTTATAAACTGTTCTGGAGTAACCGCGGTTACAAACTGCCAGTATGTATCGTTATGAAAACAAACCTTGGGTTGAAGTTCCTGAGAAATAAACTCGCTACACATCATCTCAAACGTGCCTTGTATTGATCCCATCAACTGAAACAACAAAATTATAAACAAACGTTTTCTATTGTTTTGATGGTGAATCCAAAGCTAAACATAACATTATGCATATTTCTAGTTGCCGTTTTTATATTACGGGGCATATATACGCATATAATTATGTGATTTCTTTTAACTTGATCTGTAACATTACACGACAGGTGTTAGTCTTTCCTGTTGAATTCTTTCAAATTTCCAATTTGTGGAATTTGGATTTGTGTATACAGTAAAACCCTGTTGTAATGCCAACCGTTTAAACAGCCAAAACTGCATACCGCCATAAATTTACTAAGAACGGATTTCCCCCAATGTTAATGCACCCGTTGTAATGCCAAACCCGCATACCGCCATCGCCATCATATTCCCAAAACAAATGGTTAAATTCACACTATTTTTACCTCGTTATATACTGCCAATTGGAGTCGAGTACAGGTATATCCCGATGACAGGAATGTTACGTACGTGTGTACATTGTATTGTTACACGCGACTGCCGACTGACCTAAGGTAATAAGCTGTATGGTTGTGCACACATGAAATCGTTGAACAATAGCTAGACGGCATTAATTGAACATTATTTGTGTATGACACTTCTATACATACATGTGTATTGTGATTATGTTTTGCGCGCGGAATAATTTGATACATTAAATTACAATTTTGAAGAGAGAAAAAACGTATTCTGAAGTTTATCATTATTTTTTGGAAGCATAATTAAAGTTCAGTTGGTGTGTGAACACTTGGGTTCAAAACGGTAATATCACAGAGGACAGTTGGTGGCAGTATAACAAGGTCTTACAGTAGTTAATTCTTCTTTTCGAGTCAAAATCGTGAAAATTCATACCTGGGTTAATGACCAGCAATACTGTAATATTTTCATACATTCTTACCAAAGTGTGTTGCAATACTCTGTCTCAACATCTCTGATGGCAGATGGAATATTTATTTCAAAGATTTTTACTTGTGCTACGTAACGCACTGATGAAATATACCAAAATATTCACCCATATCGTAAAAATAGTAATTTTCTCGCTTTCGTTTAGTACCAAAAAGGAAATCTGAAATGAGACACACTGATGAAATACACCAAAATATTCACCCATATTAATTATAAAAATATTAATTATTACTCACCAAGAAACCAAGAATATTCTCATTCTGTAAGCACTTTGACGCGAAAATTTAGTATAAATTGATTTTTACGGGTATTGGACAATGCTGTTTCATATATAAATATAGGGAAAGTGTAGTTACCCCCCTTGCCTAACTCTTACTTGCCATCGTCATTCTATGTCTCGTGCACCAGATGCACATGGTCGCATCTTTGGCCCAGCCAGCGTGCTTTGCATTTTCTAACTCCTTTTTGTGTTCCATATAGTTAAAATGGTCTCTGAATGAGCCAGCACCTCAGATACAGAACCCTGACTTAGTGAGCTGGTATGTCAAAATCTTACCTTCTTAGTGAACTTTTTGATGATCTCTGAATGAGTCGGTACCTCAGAGACAGAACCCTGAAGTGAGCTGGTATGCCGAAATCTTACCTTCTTAGTGAACTTGGAGATGATCTCTGAATGAGCTGGTACGTCAGACTCTGGATTGGAGCTAGATTCTAATACTGATTCAGACTCGGTTTCCATAGACTTCTCCATGCTGGAGTTCGGAGATTTCATGGTCTTTTCCACAGCAGATTGGAAGAACTCGGCAGATGGAACACGCTTACAAAGTACAGCAGGTGACTTCCTGATCATCAACAGTTAATATATAATTATAAATTACAGTGCTTTTTATACCTTACTTAAAACTGAAGAGGCTAATACATCTATCCAGCAGTTTGCCCATGCCTGGTAATAAGCCCATCCATAATTTTATAGAAATTCGAAAATTGTCAAATGTTATTTGATCGTCCTGTGATAAGCCCACACTGTAATTTGAGACAGAAATTATGTGACAGCTCCCTTAAGCTTGACTTATTGCAGATAAATACACTAATATGTTATTGAAAACAAGTGTCACAGTCATGTAATACAGGTTGACACAACACACAGGTGAAATATAAGGGCATTATGTTGGGGTGACTCAGATAGCTATATAGGGACACATTTCATTTAGAATTTTGGCAGCCATTTTTAAAGGCACAATAGAAAGGTAAACATATCAATTTGAGCCTGAAAAACAACACACAGGTGAAATATATATGCAAGACCACACACTTGTGTTTTTCTAACGAATCAGAAAGCACGAGTTTATTATATACATCTGCACAATAAACTCGTGCTTTCTGATTCGTTAGAAAAACACAAGTGTGTGGTCTTGCTTTTATCACATACCTTCTGTATTTGGTAGAGATTGATACAAAGATTTTATAAACTTTGATATTTTTTGCAAATACCGGGAATGTTTCAGTTCGCCATGACAGGGGGATTTCCATAAAAAGTAGTTCCGGCTAGTAGCTGGTAAATACAACATTCCGTTTTGCACATGTGCAATACAGAACGTTGTATTTCATGGTCTGAAAATTGCTCGTATTACTATAAAAAGATTCAACAGGTATGTTATAAAAAAATGAGCGTTACGTCAGAGTCACTCAGATAGGGACAAATACAGTGACACAATATACAAGGTCACACATATGGACCAGTTTAAGTATACATACCTTGAATTTGGAGATTTGCCAGTCGGTGATTTGACAGCAGAGCCTGATGGAGATTTTACACTTGACAGAGATTTTACACTTGATGTGACAGCAGAGCCTGATGGAGATTTTACACTTGACAGAGATTTTACACTTGATGGAGATTTTACACTTGACGGAGATTTCGAAGAGTTCTCTCCTGTCGAAGCAGACTGTTTCACAATCACAACCTTGTTCACCCCGGATAAGTCCACTTGTTCTAACTTACCACTAGCACCAGGGCTTGTGTTTACTTTTGGTGGCAATATGTTCAACCGTTGTTTGGTTGGCGTAAGAGTTTGGGATTTTGGCGGATGCTGGGTTTGATCCCCATCATCAAGATCCATCACTAAATTATCCATGTCGGAATCCGTCTCGACCTCCATCACAAGATTTGGTTCATCCACATCCATTTTATCAGATACTGATGTGCTTGATTTCGACACATCAGTGTCTTTCGAATCTACATCACCCAACTTGGAATCAGATGTTGGTTCCAGTACAATCAAACTGGGTTTGTTTTTGTCCGAACCGTGTACATTTTTTTCTGGTGAAGACGGTTCTTCTTTCTTATCCTTGTTTATACTCTCCGATCCATCCTCTTTCCCTTGCTCCGCTCTTTCCTTTACCATGTCCTGCTGTTTATCAGTTGAATCCTCGGTCTGCTCCTTTCTCGGGTCGTCAGGTGACCTCTCCGACTGGTCCTTTCTCAGGTCGTCAGTTGACCTCTCCGACTGGTCCTTTCTTTGTTCATTATTCAACTCCTCTGGTCTGTCATTTTTCTGGTCATCAGTCTTATTCACTTTCTGCTCTGTTGATCCTTCTGTCTTCTCCTCTTTTTGAATAGATGTTGTTTCATTAACTTTATCCCCACACTCTGCATTTGTTGGTTTCTTTTCATTTTCAACCTCCTCCTCTGCTTTTTGCGATTCATCCGCCTTCACAGATGACTTCACAACCTTAGTGTCAGTTTTTTCTTCGTTTTTCACTTTCGTTGAATTTTCATCTGATGATGTTGTTACAGACTTATTTTCCTCTGAGGAAATATCGGCTTCCATCGCAACATCATCTTTCTCAGTTTCATCGCACACATCCTCTTTTTCATCGTCTTCTTTATGATCTTGGTTTTCCTCATCTTCATCCTCGTCTTCGTCTACCTCATCATCATCATCAGACAAAATTGAATCGTCACTCAATCCCAGCTTCTCCTTGCAAGATTGAATAGTCTTTAGCAGATTTTCGTGGTAGATCTTTTTTGAGGGAGACACACTACCTTCATGGCTGAGTTCAGCCTCACCGTCATCAGTCTCCATCTTGTCACCGAGATCTGACGCAGCATCAGAGCTCGATTTCTCCTCCGATACATCCTCAGAAATTACTGGATCCTTAACAGAATCTAACTTGTCATGATCAATCTTTGTTACATTGTCCTCACAAACATCACTACTTTTTTGGCTCTCAGTATTATGTAATTCTAAATGGCTTTCGACAGCTTCTTCTGCTTCATCATCTAGACTGTTTGCGTTCATTTGTGTTATCCTGTCCTGTACTTTGTCAACAATACTGACCTTGGCCTTGTTATCAGATGGCGTCTGGAAAATGATCTTCCTATTGCCATCTCCTTGCTTGAAAATGATAGTATTGGCCTTGTCCGATTGAAGCTTCACCACTTTAATCAAATTCGCAGGAATGACCATACCTGGTGCGACCTTTGCCGTAATGACCTTGCTAGGAACACGATTTGTCTGTCCTACTCCAACATCAGTTTTGCTCGATGCATTTGCATCTGCACGATTTTGAGAAGCATCTACGGTAACGCGTCGCGTTGCAATCATGGAAATATATTTACTACGAACAGCATCAGCAGTTTTCAGCATCACGGACTGTCTATCTGCCTTGGATGGACTGTCAGAAATAACCTTACCTGGATACACGTTTTTGATTGTGTACGATTTCGGTTTCGGTGAGAAAGCCAACTTAGCACTGTTGGCCGCCTGCCGACCTTTCCTGAAGGGTTGCTTCATTTTGTTGTGGAAGTAGATATGATTTTTATCGTACGGCATCCTAAAACTTGCATATTCAAAGTGTCCGAATTTCTCCCTGGAAACAAAATAGTTATAATTTATTATTATGCTTGTTGATTTTTTTGGCAAATCAAATATGAAAATGAAATATTAAAGGAACAAATAAACATTGATTCCACTTGTCGTAAATAAGGAAACCATTTTTTTTGTTTATCTGAGATTATATTCATGTTTCTCGAGGGCACTATTTATTACCCTTGTGGTACATAGAGAAACACAATTTTTTGTTTTTCTGAGATTAACCATGATTCACGAGGGCAAAGCCTGAATTAAACATGATTAATTGAGGAGAAAAAATAAATTGTGTTTCCCTTCCACAAGGAAAGTAAATATTTTATTATGCCAAAATAAAAACAATAATCCAATAGTAAATATGATCAGGTTGACACACAATTTTTGTCATCTGCTTCAGTTATTCAGAAGAGTGATGGCTTTTTACTAGAAAGGCTCCAAATAAGAGACATATATTATCAGGGCAACATGAGTGTTCAAGAACGACAAGATGTTTTATAAGCCCTTCATGTGATCTGGTGAACCTCATCCAATCAGACAGGCTGTTGCAAAGATGAGGTATGAAAATAATAATAGTTTCCCTTGCATTTAATTTTATTAAAAGCCTTCTTCCTTCTAAAGTATCCATATTGTACTTTAAAGACAAAAATATCACTAAAATTCCTGAACAATTACGAAAACATCCACAGAAACCATTTACTTGTGTAGGCCTACATAACAGACACTTGATGTTTACTGTTTCAGCAGTAAGGATGAAAAACACATGCATTTCAATACATAAGTGATTTAGTTCTAACACAGATATCTATACATATGATCAGACTGGTTGTCATACTGACTGACAGGTAAGTGGGGTGGATCTATAAATAAAGTGATGTGAAGCTAAATTCATATCAACAACAAGTGATAATAATAGAATTGAATTATATAGATTACTGTATAACATGAAATGTTCGCTGTGGATAAACATTTGTGCTTTTCGTGGTTGCTATGGAACCACGAACATAAATACAACAAATTTGAATGATACACGTGTCTACTGTTTGTTAATTAAGGATATCCACGAAAGTTTAAACCACAAAACTATCTAAATGTCTTCAAACCACGAAGGAAAGTATCCAAGTATTTCGTGTTATACAGTATATAGCAGGAAAAACGGTGCATCAAGAAAACATGACAAAAACCGAAAAAGTTACATTAAGCATTTTGCTTAATATCACGGTAAATGTACGGTACTATATAATTTCCCCTTCCCCTAAAATGGACAGAAATTTTATTTCATTTTGACAGGAAATAAGTACCTAATTTTCTGTATGTGTATTTCCAATTCATCCATAGCATTCTCAAATCCTCCTCTTTTGTTTTTGGCAGGTGTGGGGATTTCCTTGGACAGCATGTAGACCTGCGACGTAGGAACCCATGACCTTCAAACAGAAACATTCAACATTGATCTCAAAATAATGTAATCTTGGCTATTTCCCCCAATGATTGACTATTCAGGTTATATTTTAAAACCCAAGAAATAGACAACACAAAACGTGAGGAGGTCATATACCCCTATATTTGGAACAGCATTTGTATTCCTATCTTCTGATTGGTTGAAGTTGCTTGGCAATGAAATTACAGCGCAATGTTGGACATTTATTTGTTTAACAGGAATGAAAAAATATTCATTATCTATATACTAGAACGTGTTCTCTGGTGTTTTCTGTTAATTCAATTATGAAGAATAACCCTAATTAGTTTTTTGAGTTTTAAATTATATACCAAAAACACCGTGTTCATTTTCATACACTAACCACTCGTTGGATTTATGCAAAGTGTACATATTTTTTTGTTATATACTGTACAACCCTAAAAAGAGTTACCATTTAATTCTTTAAAAAAAACACCATCTTGAATATAAGTTCACATAGCACAACCAGTGATTTTTTGTTATGCTTGACTTTTCGATGACTCAAGTACAAAATGCACTCAGTCACTTCATGTTGAAATACTGCTGTGGTGTTTTAAAATGGGGAAATATTTGTATGTGTCCTTAGCAACATTATATCATTAAACAATAATTATAATGTAAATGAAATGGAATTTGAATTGGTTGTAACCTTTTCAATTCATTAAGGTATTGGTCTTTACTCTGACTAGATCTTAAAATAATTCGCAGTTGATCCTTCAACGAAAAAGTGTGAAAATAGCACTGCCGCAAAAACTACTCAGAGTGTAGTATTACGTACCTGTCATGGGCTCCGAAGAATCTGACATCCACCTGGTCGTCTTCTTCTCGCAGTGCCTGCCAAGAGTAAGATATATTGCAGAATATACCGTCAGTCATGAGAAATTACTGTAAAGATAGACCGAATCTTTAACTCATTCACCCTTAAAGTCACATTTGAATCTTACCAAATCAAAGTCTGGAAAAGTCCAGTTTAAATATGGAGGGGTAAATTAGTTATCGAGACCATTTTTATCAAGAACATTTTGTTTAGAAACAAGAGACCAAAAGGGGCTGCATCGCTAGCCTGGATATCTAAGCAATCATGGCAAAATATTCACCAAATGAGACCCAAGGGAATAGGCCAGACCCCAAGGCCAATCCTTGCAGCATATCTGTATCAGATTTTTCATACCCAGCAATTTTATGTATGGTTATACGGTGGGGATCTCAACCATTTCCAAGTAATAAACTTTTTTTGGCCCCACCCTTTAGCCATGGGGTCAGCCCCATCGATTCGTACAATTTTGAATCCTCCCCTCCCATAAATGCTTCAGACCAAATATGATTGATATCCAGTGCATAGTTCTACTGAAGTCGTTTATTGCAATATAGCCAAATTGCCCACTTTTGCCCTCCCCCCTCTGCCCCCAGGGGGATCAGGCCAAACATTTGTACAATTTTGATTCACCACCACCTAGGGATGCTTGATATCCATCTCTTAGTGGTTAAGAAGAAGAAGTCGTTTGAAAAAATTGTTGATGTACAGATGACGGATGGATGACGGACGGACGACGGACGCCATGGTATGGCATAAGCTCACCTAGGTCTTTCGGACCAGGTTAGCTAATAACTTTATCAGTTTTATGTGATTTCAACTGCCTTGACAGCACACTTACCATTGACAGTTATTCCATAATTTCTTTTTGTATTAAAATGTTTCCTGATATATGATGACAAACCAAAATGTCCCTTTCTATATCTATGCTCCGACTTTGTTACTGTATAACGTGAAACTTTTGCTCCATCAATTATTCACCCTTCACCGGTAAAATCAACATTCACCCTGTGTTTATTTCACCATTCCAATGTTATTACTATACATGGTTAGTTGTGAACAAGTCTCATTATCATGATAAATTTGTCCTCGTTGTGGAGGGTGAAAAGGGTAAAACTTCAACTTTAACGACAATTTCGGATATACATTATTTCTTCAGTAAACACAGAGGTCAGTAGATGTTGTTCGTACCTTTGCGGGCCAGAATGGATAGCCCTTCAGTTTGGCCCAGACTAGTGTGTGTGGTGTTCTCTGCAATAGGTGGATATACAAAACATCTTATTGGTCATCAATGTCAAATGAAAAATCATGTATTTCACTAATACTTGTATCATATTCAGTGTTTATGTACTGAAAATGAGCTCGGGAACCGTAGCTCAAGATTCGATCAATTGTTTTTTCCTCTCTTAAATTTCACATCTTCTAAGGTCCAATAATGTAAACCTTTTAAAATTCAAATAAAGCTGATCGGACCTTGAGCTTCGGTTCTCACTGCTAACATTTTGCGTGGGATAAAGAGTTTTCTGTAAACCATTCAGAGTATGTTTGTGACTCAAGAAAGTGAGCTCCGACTCTTAGGTTTCTAAAACAAGTCTCTTTGACATGTGTTTTGACCCTTATAATTTCAATGAAAATGTTATTTGAATTCTGAAATTGCGAAATGTCAAGATCAACTGAGAGCCCTGGGGATTAAGGATTTTGTGTTATACTCGATCATGAAGTAAAATCTCTCACAAGTTATTGTAGGTAGCCTATACAAAAGACATCCTTTGTTATTGTTTCTTAAATACATATTCAGGTGACAAAGTCATGAAAAACCGTAACCGATATAGAATCACACGCGATAAAATTCTATGATCCAACGTCAGTGTAAGTAACTTGGTGCACAGGATCTGCAGGTGTTTCGAGCATAGAATCCTTTTTTTTTTTTTAACAAATTAAGTTAAATTCCAGAAAATTTTAGCCCTGAAACCCTACATATTAAAACCTGGCAGTGTATAATCTGACCCTAAATATTTATTCCAACAAAATGTCTAATCAAACAAAATATATGTACTGTAAACCCATTGGTATGAAACTATGCAACTATCAAATAAGACCTGTATAAAGTGTATTTCAACATCCTGTCTAATGCATCTGACTTATATGTTGCATAGGACAATATGTCAGATTATCCAGATTTCACTGTACAGTGTACAGTTCACCAGTCTAAACCAAGCAACAACAGGACTAGTATGATATGTCCAATAACATATAGTTTTTCTATTTTGATCAGACAAGTTCCACTCAAAGTTTTTCAGAAATACCTACACAGGTTTCGCTGAACCACTCGTCATTCTTACGAACACAAGAGTTCCAGTAACAGTCCGGGCACAATTCTACCTCGTTCATCTACAAAGGAAAATACATAAAACCTTTAATACATACAACCAATATTTTTTTCAGTAAACATTGGTTTGGTTTAGTTGGTTTGTTTGTGTCTTATGTCCTATTAACAGCTACTGTCATTTAAGGACGTGCCAGGTTTTGGTGGTGGAGGAAAGAGGGAGTTCCCGGGGAAAAACAACAGACCTACGGCCAGTACCTGGCGACTGCCCCGCGTAGGCCTCAAACCCTCATCCAGTGGTGGAGGGCTAGTGGTAGCAGAATGTCAGACGCCTAAACCACTTGGCCCCCTTTTCAGTTAAGAAGTAGTTTCCATTTGGAATAAGATTCATCAGTTTGGTATGAAGATAATAAAGACTAAGTTTTCGGCTACATGTAGAGGTTTCTACAAAATTCTTCCAATCAGTAAGAAATTTTTCATTTTTTATAGTTATCTGACCAGAATGAGAAATTGGGCTTGAGCACACAATCTAAGTTTGAGCATGAGAACAGTTTTATGACTAAGGGCCGAGACTTTCCGTAGCTTTTAAAATTTTAAAATTTTCTGTTTGCAAGGTTTTCAGGGATTCTCTAGAATTTATTTGTCAAGTCAAAATATTTTACAGTTATGCAAATGTCTTGCTCAATCCTCTGAATTTATCTGCAATATTTATAAATATATCTAAATAAAACACTGGAAATATTATAAGTCTAAATATCACGTAGATAACTATTACCATACCTCATGTTTACAAATCTTGATAATCATCTTGGCACTACTGGTCAGTTTGTGATGGGCTACATAAAATAAACAAAACATGAATTAAGCTCAAATAAAAACATATTAAGGGCTACCAAGTGAAAATCTGATAGTCAGTAGAGAGGAAAATTGATTGATTCAGCTATGTTTTTTAATTATCTTCTTTAGCATTTTTTTTTCAAACAATTTGTTTTGGCGAAAAAAACAAAAGAAAAAAAAACATGCACTTGTCACTTAAAAGTCACCTATGCTAAGTTTAAATATACATTGTTTATTTAATGTATTATTTTGATCATAAAGCTTAAAAAAAATAATAAGAGAAACTGCTTCACAGGCTCACGTTTAAAAAAAAATATTTTCCAGAAACTTTGTAGAAGTACAGTACTGTCAACAATTAACTTACTGCCATTGAAGATGATACAATTGTGAAGAATCCATTTGGCGTCGGCGAGGAACGCCTCAGTGCAACCATACAGTTTCTTCTTGATATTCTGGGGAAAAAAACACAATTTACTGTTTAAATTATGTTGATTTAGGAAACTGATACATGATACATAAAATTTGGGATCAGTGGGAGGAAAATGTGTGTTTAATTAATTATAATACATCAACTCCTTTAAACCTTTTGATTTTTGTTTTAATCTGACCAGTGATGAATTCTATGATAGATGTATCAACACCACTTTCAAACGATTGACATTAAAAAAAAGTTTTACCATCATTAATTAACCCTAGTTTGAATTCTGTATAACAGGAAATTTTCGCTGTAGTTTATTTATTTTTATTTTTCGGTCACGAGCCCGGCGTCCTACCATTAGAATGCCGTGCCTCCTAAATACAGTTAGCATATATTACTGTTTGTAACGTCACGTAACATTGTCACTACGAAGATTTAAAATAAGTACACATCAGTATTGAGTGACATACCAACATTTATCTTCAAGTTATAAGATATCTTTCATGTGTTCGTGATTTTCACAGGACGAGATGACCAGACAACATCAAAAGTCTCTGCAAATTTAATCCAGTTAACATCGTTTTGGCCCACTAGATGGGCTGTCATCAGAACCCATTTCATGTTGTATGGTCATCTCTTCTTGTGAATTTTTATTCCTTTCTTTTATTATGGCCAGACTGGTGAATTTTATTTAGGAATCCATCAACTGGTTTACGCAGAACTCCACTGGACATCCACTAATGCTTATGAGGGAAGCTAAATTATAAACATGCACCTGGCTACCAAATTTGTTTAAATGATTGACCTTCACCAATGTTCAAGGTCACGGGGGTCCAAGGAGTTAAAACCTTTAAACTAGTACAAGTTTCTAAATATTACCGTTCAAGGAAATCTGAAAATTGAATATCATTAAAAATAAGATTTGCATTGGAGGAAGAAATAAAAAACTCTACCCTTTCTAACTCTCCCAGATCCATGGCATTGTAAACATAGTCTGTGTAGTAGGGAACTGCACCTAGGTCAACAGGCTTCATAAATGGGTCACTCTACAAAACAGATCACATCATCAATCTCTGTGTAAACAAGAATGAAGACAGCAGGCTTCAAGTGCAGGTCACTTTAGAAAGTTTCTGGAATGAGTTATTTTACAAAATAGGTGACATCATCGATACCTGTGTAATGATATAGATTTCACAACAAAACAGATGACATCATAAATGTCTGTGTACTTATGTTTAACCCTTTCACCACTGTAGACCATAATGGACTCATCCAGATCAATGCATGGAAGAGTCAACTAAAGTTACATAGGTGTGAAAAGTTTAATAAATCAAATGGCTCCAAGAACAGGTGAAAATGTGCTACGCTATAGTGATATGTATTATGTATTTATATGCACACTGTTTTACATTCTTAATCAGCATAGACAGTGTTTCTATACTGATTCTACACTGATGTCATGGTGTAACATGACTTATAATTACCCCTTGGTGAGTATAATCCCTCTAGTGCATACCTCACTAACACAGAGTGTCTATACTGATTCTATACTAATATCATGCTGAATGTGCCTTACTACTTGATGTGTCATCTTGATCAGCATATAAATCATTTCTATACTGATTTTATACTGAAATCATTCTGTGACATGCCTAACTACTTGATGAGTCTCCCTGATCAGCATTAACATAGCATATCTATAGTGATATCACACTGACTATGACTTATCCCTTGATGTGTCATTCTTGATCAGCCTATTCAGCATTTCTATACTGTTTCTATACTGAAATCATTCTGTGACATGCCTTACCCTTTGATGTGTCATCCTCTCCAGCGCCTACTTGAGTAGTGTACACAGGGTGTCTATGCTGATTATATACTTATATCATAATGTACCATGACTTACCCCTTGGTGTGTCATCCTCTCCAGCGCGTACTTGAGTAGCGTACACAGCGTGTCTATGCTGATTATATTCTGATATCATGCTGTACCATGACTTACCCCTTGGTGTGTCATCCTCTCCAGCGCGTACTTGAGTAGCGTACACAGCGTGTCTATGCTGATTATATACTGATATCATGCTGTACCATGACTTACCCCTTGGTGTGTCATCCTCTCCAGCG